TTTCCAAAAGAGCATCAAAAATAATGTCCAAATGTCGAAAACGAATTGAATATGTTAAGTATTGGCTGAGATATGACCATCTGAATAAATAGTTGTCCTATGGGAACTCAGTCTTATAGTGCTCTGGTTCATAATATTAGGAACATATATTTATTCAGATGGTCATATCTCAGCCAATACTTAACATATTCAATTTTTTTTTTTGACATTCGGACATTATTTTTGATGCTCTTTTGGAAAATGAAGAAAAAATTGAGAAATTCTAAAAATAGATTTGTATGATGTCACAGCTTCGGTACTCAATAAGAGGATGCAAATGACCTTTTTATCCTACCTCTTACAACCACCCCCTTTTGAACAACCTCCCACCCATTCAGTCTACCCCACGCACCAAGCCGGCTACGCTCTGGCTATATGTTCGATCCCTATGGTGATCTGTGGAGTATCTTCCCTCGTACTGGGTAAGGGCTCAGTCCTGGATGTGAGGTTGTCGGTTTAAACCCCTTGCTTCAGTAGCCCCCCTTTTGGTGTTGATTTGTTTAAATAAATAATAATTAACCATTTGATTTTTGTGTTCACTGTATGGTTTATCACACAATTTGTAGATGGACTGCATTGTTATAGAATAGTAGTTTTGTTTTTTGATCCATGTGTTTTATCATTTACATTGTTAAAAGCTACCAGGATATGTTGAAATCATCTGTCTTGAGTTAATGATCATTTTGCTTCAAACAGATGATGTGTTAGTTTGAGCTTGAACTTGCCTGCAAGAAGAGTAGGACAGTGTACTTGTACATGTATACCACAATATATTCATACATATATATGTTTGTTGTATAACCATTACCGTAGTTGATTTAATAGCTCATACACATGTATATCATTATGTGCATGCATACACACTCATCATTTGTATAAAAGATTATGTTCTGTTAGTTGTACAAAAAATTATGATTATGTAGTCATGAAGTCATATGATTTTCTATTTAGCTCATCAAGATAGTTCAAACACATGTGACCCCCAATATGTAGGATGAACAGTAGTCAAATATTTGATGTTATTTTGACAAGTTGAGCTGTACTGGTAGATGTATATTGTATCACATGTTGGAAAGCACCCCCTTTTGATAGTTTAGCCAATTGTAGTGGCATGAATAGGTGCGTAAAGAACGCAAAATACAAGATTGTTGAAAATTATAATTTTATCACACAAAGTTAGAACCACATCGTTAGGATATGGAGCTGGTTACTGCATACAATCTCAATGAGGCTTAACGTTTTATGAAAGGCACAATCCTTTTTGTAACATATCCAATGCCCTTATAGCAAAAGTACTTTGAAATTAGTTCTTTTTTTCACAATCAGTGGAAAAATTATCTGTTTTGGTATTAAGCTTTCACTCGCTGTACTGCAAGCTTCTTCAGACCTATGTCACGCTGCAAGAGCTACAGCGTCAGCTACAACATAGGTCTGAAGAAACTTGCATTAGAGCAAGTGAAAGCTTACCGAAATGGGTAATTATTCCAGTGGCGGATCACGTGATTTTTACCTTTTTTGGGGGTTGGGCCCCCCCCCCTGGCGCTCAAGGGGGGGGTGCAAATTGAATTTTTTTTTGAGGATCAAAAAAAAAAAATGTGCTCACTACCCCCCCCCCCCCCCCCCCCCCACTGAGCGAATTTTTGGGCGGCGCGTTTTTCAAATTTTCGGGAGCAAAAAAAAAAAAATTGTGCTCTGTACCCCCCCCCCCCCCCCCCCCCCCCCCCCCCCCACTGAGCGACTTTTCGGCCGGCGCGCTTTTCAAATTTTCGGGAGCAAAAAAAAAAAAAGTTGGGCCCCCTCCCCTAAGAAATCCTGGATCCGCGCCTGAATTATTCCCACTGACTGAAGAAAGAACTACTTTTCAAGTTACATCGCCAATCAGATGTACCTCACTAGTGAGCACAAGTACATGTTTGTACGTGTATGTCCTCAAAATATGTAAGAAACAACTTAATATGCCTGTTAGAAAACAGTGTACCCCCCTCCCTTTTCTATCTCTCTCTCTACTTCTCTTCATTTCTGCTTTTCTTCTCTCTCTCTCTCTCTCTCTCTCTAACTCTCTCTCTCTCTCTCACTCTATCACCCTCTCTCTCTACTTCTCTTCCTCTAGCTTCCTTCCTTCTCTATCTCTCTTTCTCTTATTTTGTAAAAATGTCTCCCTGTTTTAAAATTATAAACTTGTTATATGTTCATGATCATGCTCATGTTCATGCTCATATATATTTTTGAATAATTCAGCTTGCAGAACAAAAGGTGAACTTTATCATTTGCATACACGATAGAGCATCCTTCCATCACAATGATATGTGTCTCATTAACATGATTTACTAGATATGTTTTCAGGTCCATGTTTCAGTTTCTTTTTTCAAAGTCTCCATCAGCATTACATTGCTACATGTTTGAATCGTATACTGTAATGTAGTGTACAAAGAAATACAGTGCAATGTGTTGTCCAAAGTAAAATTGGCTTAGGTACATCATCAGAATTATTCATAATTTGTCATACCCCTTGTAAATTTGATATTTTTTGTATTTTTCGTAACTCAAGAATGTTTCCACTGGACTGCCTCCATGTACATTATTATTGATTTACAAAGTTATATGTCCTGCATTGATAATGTATGATGTACATACATGTATCTGTACAAGATAACTTACTTTGAGTCTTTATATCATGTATTTGAGATCTGTTTCCATTTTCCCATACCTCTACACATTCTTTATTTAAACTATGTTTAACATATATTTTTAGATGTTTTTCCTTTGAGTTATAGAGCTGATATTACTCCTATAAGTACATGTAGCCCACCGTCCCCCCCCCCCCCCACATATATTTTGCCTTTTACCTGGTGGTAGTTCACATATGTTCTCCCTATCCTTCTAGATATGTATTGTTGTCTTGTAGTTGGGAGTAATAATTTATGAAAACATGTTTGATATGTATACACCATCTTCTTTTTAAATTGCAGTTAATTAATTTCAATCTAACATTGCTAGTCTCTAAGATGCACATAATCTAAGATACACAGAATGTCCCATGTGTGTTAGCTTGTAATAACCACTTGATTTGTTTTTTACCCCTCTCTATTTATCAACCTACCGGTATATTCCTTGCATGCCGTTGTATGATGTGCTGCATGGTGCTTGCGTTCATACAGAGGTATGCATCCTAGACTAGGTGCAGGTGTAGGTGGAGGAGGAGGGGCATTCGCCTCATTTGGGAACGGGTTCGGGGACTTTGGCAATGGGTAAGTCTCAACGTTGGTAGTAAATGTCCCAACATTGGTAGTAAACATCCCAACATTGGTACTAAACGTCCCAACATTGGTAGTAAACGTCCCAACATTGGTAGTAAACATCCCAACATTGGTACTAAACGTCCCAACATTGGTAGTAAACATCCCAACATTGGTAGTAAACATCCCAACATTGGTACTAAACGTCCCAACATTGGTAGTAAACGTCCCAACATTGGTACTAAACGTCCCAACATTGGTAGTAAACATCCCAACATTGGTACTAAACGTCCCAACATTGGTAGTAAACGTCCCAACATTGGTAGTAAACGTCCCATCTTTGGGAGTAAAGGTCCCAACATTGGTAGTAAAGGTCCCAACATTGATAGTAAACGTCCCATCATTGGGAGTAAAGGTCCCAACATTGGTAGTAAAGGTCCCAACATTGATAGTAAACGTCCCATCATTGGGAGTAAAGGTCCCAACATTGGTAGTAAAGGTCCCAACATTGGTAGTAAACGTCCCATCATTAGGAGTAAAGGTCCCAACATTGGTAGTAAAGGTCCCAACATTGATAGTAAACGTCCCATCATTGGGAGTAAACATGAATAACATCCCAACATTGGTAGTAATGATCCCAACATTGGTAGTAAAGGTCCCAACATTGATAGTAAACGTCCCATCATTGGGAGTAAAGGTCCCAACATTGGTAGTAAAGGTCCAAACATTGGTATCAAAGGTCCCAACGTTGGTAGTAAACGTCTTGTGGAAATGTGTTGTACAAGAAAATTCAAGATCAAAATTTGAGCCAAGAACTAGGGGAGGAAGATAAGGAATTCATTGATGCGGTTCTTGTAGTGATGATTTAACATAGAATTTGTTTGCCTAGCTATAACTATAAAATATATATTTTCAACTACAGGATTATTTTTCAATTTTTAATGAATTACTTAATATGAAGGCCAGTATATATTATATTTTCAAGATTTCAAGATTTTAGAAAATTCAATACTCACAACCTTTATAGTTAAAATGTTACTGAATTTACACATGTAGGCTATCTAATTGAAATTTACTTGAGGTTTTACCCTGTATCACCTTCCATGATCTTACTGATGATTCCACAAGGTTCACAGAATCCATGTACAAGAAAAAAATGCAGTGCAGACTAGAAATGGAAATGGACAAGTTTCAGGGACCAGTTTACTAAAATATTCAAATTTGTATGCATACTTTGTAAACCAAGGTTTTACTTGATATCCAAAAGCTTGTCTGAGGCTTGCCCAACATAGCAAAAAGTCATGTATACAGACTGGATTTTGAGTATTGTGGTTCATTTGCCAATAACAGGTCAATGGGATAACTTGTCACTGGGTCCCCAGGAAAGAAACATGCAGTATTACGGTAGTAAACCGGTCTATTGTTCCTAAAGAAAACTAATGTCAATAATGACCTGTGAATAAGAGGATTTTTGTTAATACAGTACTAGGTTTAATAAGGTACAAATTCCTCCACGTGTGTAATGTTGTATTTCCAATCGCCATATATATATTGCCAACCCTTGAAGGTATCTTTAGTGCTTGTAAGGGATTTTTACGGTGAACTTCTACTCCTTTCTTCTAGATTCACATCATTTTCCTCATCATCATCTTTCGGTGCTCCTAGTTCTGGGAGTGGTGTCAGGAGAACCTCTACTACTACCAGGTTCATTAATGGAAAAAGAGTCAAAACAACAAAGTAAGATTTCTGTTTTCATTCAATGATTTTTTTTTTTTAAAGTACGATATTTTGTGTAATGTGGCAAAATCAATATTGAAGGGGCTTGAAAAGCGATATCTGGGACCAGTGGTGTTCGATTTTATTTGTAATGATCAGGGGCCCATCTTATAAAGAGTTGCGACTGATCCGAATCATTCGCGAGTCCTCCAATCGATCGCAAGTTTACAGTCCTGTATCTCTATTATGTACATAGTTGCGATTGATATGAGACAGGGGCCCAGGGCTCTCTTCTTTTCTAAACCTATCATCAATAACAACTGTCACATTCCTGTAACAAGTTTGCTAACAGCCAATCAAATTCAATGATTTCATTAGCTTTTAACAGTTAATAACACACCCTGTTATAAAACAGGACCCTGGGATTTTAACAACTTTCAATAATATATGTTTACAATTGGCACACTGAAAATATTATATATAGATAATAATTAACTAGTGCTGTAGTCAAACGTTTAACCCTCCGGTATCCGACCGGCCATGGCCGATTCCGTTTTCAATTGGACGGTTTTGTTTTCCCGTTTTTTTTTTTTTTTTTTTTTTTTTTTAATAATAATTTTTTTTTTAAATTATTATTATTATTATTATTTTTTTTTTTTTTAAAGTTTCGATTTATGCCCATCCACCTGGGACTATGCCTGGCAATGTCTCCCAGCTCAGTAATCTGTGTGTTGACTCACCACTCCGAAACTAGAACACTCCAATTTGTCTGTCATCTTGGTTTGAAAGTAGTCTTTGTAATAGATCTCAATATGTAGTTTATAATAATAATTCATCCAATTTTTACACAAGGCGTACCACAAGGTTCTATCCTAGGTCCTCTACTATTTTTAATTTACATTAATGATCTTACACATTCTTCTAAAAACGACATTGTTACTATTATATGTGACAAGTTCACAAACACAAATTGGCGCCTTCAACTGCACCCGCTTTTTCACACGGACCTGGCTTGCTGCTTGATTTTTTTAAATCGTTTAACCGAAAACCGTCCGGTTTTGACTGGCGGTTAAACGGAATTGGAGATATCCGTGATGTTACAGCACTATGATTAACCCTATTGGTTCCTTTTCCTTCTTTCCTCTCTCTCCATCTTTCACCAAACTTTATTTTCATCCCAGAATCACTGAACACGGACAGGAGACAGAGATCACGGAAGAGGATGGAAAAGTAACGTCCAAACTCGTCAACGGTCGACAAGAAATGCTGACCTACTGAAAGGACAAAGGATCTGATGTGAACTAAATCTCATCATGCCTTAATCTACACAAACCTAATCTTAATCTTGTGTGTGTGTATTTTGTAAAAGACGATATTCGTTTCAACGCAATTAGCCAGAATGTTATTTTTATATCATTTTCAACTGGTATCTGTCGTTTGTAAAGTAATTTACACTTGTATGTTGTTGTTGTGGTAAACATGTCCAAATGGTTTATTTACATTGTTATTATATTGTTTCTTGTTTCTTTTTGTAAATAAACAGAGTCAATGAACAGTGAATTGCGTGAATTAATTTCGGATTTGAGGCATTTTAGCTGGACAGTCCATGCATACATAAATAATCTTATGTGTTTTGCATCCTGATTCAACAGATTTTTTTAAATCAACCCTCACAATGTTGACCGGTACCGGTACCTTTAGTTGAAAGGGAGGCAAAATTTAACAAGAATAAGTTCAATAGACAACTTTACTAAGGCATTCATATGTTATGCATACTTATGGAATGAAAGATGTCCTTTGAACATTTACTAGCCCGCACAGGGGCTTGTCTTATATAATAACAATATTGGGTTCTTGTATAGTGCTCCTGTCTGTCAGATTTGACACTCCTGGCGCTCCCGATAAAGCAATAAATACACATGTGAGGTGGATCTCGTAGATAGAGTTGCTTTCATACTTGTCTTTGTGTATTTTGGGAAGAATTATCCATAAATTTGAATGTAATAGGAAACTAGTCTAATCTCTAATTGATTGGCGTACAATTATACAATACTATCAAAATATACCATTAAATTGATTCCTTGGTGATTCACATACCGGTAGTATTTTATTTTATTGTTCAAATAATAACTTAATTGAACTCAAAATGAGAGCCTCTGGAGGCATAAACACAATAGAACTCCCTTAGATTACGTTTATTATTGTACAAACCCTTGTCTTTAATTAGTGTTGATTTTGTAAGATAGGCATTGTTCGATCAATCATATTTGTGAATAGTAGAAGAGCTTTATATTTATTGTAGTGTTGTAGATACTGGAGAGTTTGTATTCTGATTTTCACTGGAGTGTAGATAATGCTGCATGTTTATCTGTTTCGGTGAAATAAAAAGGTTTTTATCAAGTTTTGAATGGCCATAATAGGGACAATTAGTTTTGTTTTGGTATATTAAACAGTGCTATAGGGGGATCTTTTTTTATTACCCCCTTTTTTTTTTACCCTGTGTAAATCTTGCTTTACCCTGAAATTGGACAATTTTGTATTCTAAAACATAACATCTCTTTATTAAGGAGCATTAGTGTTTTTCTCTATAGGGGATTAATTCAACTAATAGAAGCTGATAGCAGAAATGCATCGGGAGAAATCAGCTTTTATCATAAACAAAACCAGAAAGGCTGAACAAATTATGACAGACCAGTGTACATTTATAAGAACTAAGTCTCGTGACATAATTTGTTTGCATAATTTGGTGAAAAGGAATGAAAGAGAAAACTTCTGGTGTATTTCATATGTTTATTTTCGTCTATTTCCTGAAGCTACCACTACTTTGCAAATCATTTTGTTTCACTTTTCATTGTAGTTTAAAATTGAAACTGAATTAGGAAGAGTTATTTTCAAAACAAGCTACTGGTATTGCATGGACTCTTATTTATTTTCAGTTTCGGATGGCATTTATGAGAGTTTTAGGGGCAAACCAGCCCCTCAACACCATTGTTGGTAGTTATGCTCCGCGTGTGTTTCTCTATCTAATTTCAGCTCTACAGTGCTGCTTTATATTACGTTCTCATAAATTCTTGTATGTGCTACTATCCAGTTACCAGTATCCAATATTTGTTTGTGCTTTAGTATAAATTAGAATAGATGTTATCGGTTCTAAAAACAAAATGTTTACTATCAAAAGAACAACTTCAGTTATTTCATTAGTATTTAGCTTACAAATTCAATCAAAGAATGATGATACAACTTTTGATAAAGTGCACATCTTAATGTGACTCTGAAATGGTTGCGCCACCTGTCTTAATACGTTCATTTCACAAATGTGTTTGTTGGCAGCTATTGACCTTTGTGAACTTGCATGTCAAGATTGAAATTTGTTTGTCAACATTTAATCTAGATTGAATCGTTAAAGACTCTGTCTTCAAAACAATCAAAAGCAATTAAAATATTCAATATTTGCTCATTTTTTAATGCAAGAACGGAAAGTATATTTTCATTTTTTTTTTTTTTTTTTTCTTGAGTGATACAATTTGTGTGCTGACTCTCCTTGACAAAGTCTTTGTAAAAAAAAAATACTCTGGTGAATTTCATACTGGAGGAATGTTTGTCATACCAATTTGATTTGTTTGAAAGCTGTTGCTTTTGGCAGTATTCATAACATTAATTTGTAGTATGGAGATAAAAGCTCAAAATGTAAATACAAAAGAAAAAAGCTGTATAGTTGCTTTCAGATGTAGATCATATTTTTGTAAGAGGATGTTAACTACACAGTAATATATATGATCTTTGATCAAGAAGTGAAAAATTGATTGATATTGAAAGATTTAATCCTTTACATTACGAATTGCTTATCTATTACAAATATACTGTTTTTCACTTTTAATAGGCATCATCACAGAAAATGGTATAAACAGTTTCTTTATATTGATGGCCATACATGCATTTCATCCATATAATAATGGTGGCTTCTATATATAGTGCACATGTCTGTCACGTCATGACACTCCTTGCACTCCGACTCGATGAAGAGTACTTTATTTTTTCCTGTCTTCTTGTTTGTTTGTTTGTTTGTTTGTTTGTTTTTGTTTTTTTTTGGGGGGGGAGGGTTTGCTTTAAAACATTTTTTTTGTTTAATCTGAGATACCTTTGTGGCAGGGCATATCCTTGAATTTCAAAACTGGAAGAACATTTAGATAGGGTAGGATTGCAGTGATATTCATAAAATATTGCTTTGATAGAATTTAAAATGTCATATTTATATAGTTTGAACAGACTGGTGTGTCACAATTGTCTAGCCACATACTAATTTTTCCCCAATATTATGAACATTGTGTTATCATTTAATAAGAAAAGGTTTCTGCACATCTGAATTGACACGCGTTTACACATCAGAATTAAGTACTTTGATACACACTCAAAGACATTTGAAGGTCAGAATAAGAGTTTCCTTTTTACTCAGATAGTCTCAATTCTTTTCTGAAAGTCTTAGTCGTAGACAATTGATGTGCATATCATTTAAGAATGAGGGTATGATCAAATGAACTGTATTTGTTATGTTAGTTACATGTAATATTGTCTTCAATTTGTTTTATGTTCCATGTTTGAATGTTCATGAATTTGCTTAACGAATATAGTGCAATCTGGCAAAATAGATAAAATTGATATGCATACGTTGCATATTTACAACATAGTAGTTATTATTATTAGACTTTGATAATGTAGTGAAAAGTTACTGCAAAAAATTATGCTTTCATTGCATTCATTGAAATAATTTACTGAGGACAAAGGTTAAATCATTAATGGAAGGTAGTTGTATAGTCGCATTAATCGCTACATTGGAAGGTAACATGGTTCTAACATTTTTTACATTAAAAAATGATAAATGCGGTTTCCTTTATAGTGACTATTAAATGAATATCAAGTCTTTATCTCATTACACTTGACTCCTTCCTCCCTTTCCCATAGGGAGAAGAAATAATTGAATAAGTTTTATCCCTCACTTAGTAATTGCAAATTCTCATGTATAAATGAAATACAAGCAAGAAACTTCGAGGCCTGGCTTTTATTATATGTATTCAGAATTGACATTGAAGTTATTTTCTTACGATGTGGCTTTCCCTAAAGTTTCATATTTTATATTGACAATTCACTTCTAATGCTAGTGTATTGGTGTGATTTCAGAAGTAAGAACCAAATGTTAATCTGCATTTATTATACAGAGCTTCATGAATCTATCATCGGGGTCCTGTTTCATTGAACCTGTTATCAATATCAAGTGCCACAGATCTGTGACAAATCTGACCCTAGCCAATCAAATGCAAGGATTTCAGTAGCTTATAACAGTTATCGTACCTTGTTATTGATAGCAAGGTTTGTGAAACAGGGCCAAGAAGTACCATGTTGGTGCAAGAGTATCAATTAAAGAAATGTATGCAGGGAGATGTTGTTTATGGTGTGCTAGCTGTACTGTGTAGAAAATGGATGAGAAATCTACATGTAGTGATATAAGTTCTCATGGTTACAATAGTCTTTTCTTTTGTTTGAAACATGTTTATTCTATTAATGTAGACATTCAACGATTTGATGTATGCATATTATTGCTCTCTTTCTAATTGGACATGTTTTATTTAGTGTATTCATTGAAATATGTTGATTTATCATTGAAATACTGACTACAGTCAGGTTTTCTCTATCTTTCTGCATGTATATCAAAGCTATAATGTATGTTTGTTAATCTGGGTTTGTTCTTCATGACTTGTTTTAATATTTAAGAATTTAGAGAAAGATTAATGAAATAATTTTGATATTCCATGAATTTTAGATTTAGAAGCGAAGTTGTCATGGTATAGATCTGTGGAACTATGAATAACCAAGAGTTTTCATTTTAAGAAAGGACGTAATGTTAAGCCACACTGTACTAGAAGTATACCCTCTAGTGCCATCTCAGGTCAGCTGTGGCAGTATGGTCTCATAACATGCTGTGCTGTTGGTTCTCGCATCAAGACCTCTGTCTGCAAGGCGAGTGGAAATTAAGTTTTGGGTTATGCACTGTTGGCAAGTTGACCATGAGATGGCGCTGTGCAATAAGCAGTACGTTAGGGCAGAAAGTGCATCAGTTCGGTATCGCTTTAAGCAGAATTTGAGTATCCTTTTAATTACTTCATGCATGTAGGTTGATCAATGGGGAAATGCCAACATATTCTAGATTTGTTGTAAGAAACAGAGAGGAATAGTGTAAGGTAGTGCCCCTACCCCCCAATTCTGTATTTAAAACTCCAAAAGTTGTACTGAAGTTCTATTTTTTGTCATAATTCAAGCATCTCATTTTTGCATGAAAACAAATCTATGATGTAGAGGTAGATGATTTCCTTCTGAAATACCAGGTTATGTTTTAAAATATTTAATTACGAGAATACAAGAGTGCACCACCCGCTATTTTTCTCTAAGTTGGGATAATACTTTTGTAAACTCTTTTTTCACACTATTTAATTTGTATAGATGATTGAAGCTAATGATATGCTTTTCATTTACGATTCTTCAGATATGAAGCTTTTGAATAAAACTTCTTTGCCAAATAAAATAATGTCTTCAAGTTATCTTGTCATTTTAATTCCTCAAGTACTCCTGCATCTCAAGGAAAATCACAAATTAAAGGGGATTGGGTAACTTTGTCTCAGATTCTGAAACAAAATCCTGGATTTAGCTCATGCTGCAATGATAATTATAAATCTTTAGGTCAGTCAGGAACCCCATGACTTTTAAAAGCTTGACTGAATCGAAATCAAATTTTGCATTTCTTAACGGTTTTCATAACTGTACAGTCTATTGGGTATATGGTAAAACTGGTCACTGAAAGATTTTACTTTTTTGAGGCACTTCATGATCATTTTGAAGCGTGATTTTTTTTTTAAAGGGCTTTAATATTACACCATTTCGCAGACACGTAGGGCCATGCATCTCAGATTTAACATTGTTAAACGATGCGTCACATTTCTGTATCTTGTAACACAGAGCTCAGTGAATACGAGCAAGTCCTCTATTACACACAGTTGCCATTCATTTACACTATTAAAAAACACAGCAGCGTTTTTTCGCAGCAGTTTATCTCGCCATATCTCAACAAGCCTTTATTTGCCAAAATCAATTTATGTTTTCTTTTATGTATTGTCTGCACTATAGATTCCAACCTTTATGAATAATTGCTAAATTTTCAGACAGCCAACCTACTTTTCGTTTCATTTAGCCACTGGGTCTCATGAATGTACGATACAGTGTTTTGTGTCTTCATCTCAAACATTTCTTCATTCTTTAATCTTTTTTATCTCTCAAAATACGACTCGTGACAAGTTTGATTTAAAGTAAAGGTCATAGTTTTCAATTTTAATAATTGATATACAAACTGTATCCATGATTCTCCCACTCGAAATGGATTCATGTAATATGTTCAAAAGCAGTGTAGAAGTAGTGATATCACATAAAATATTCTAAACCGTCTTAGATTGTTTGAAAAGTTGTACATTTCTAAAAAAAACATCAGAAAAATTCTAGGTATGAATGACAGAATATTGTAAATCTAGAATCTCTTGCTAATTTTGTGGTTCAGACTTGGGGGAAACTTTAATGTCTGGAATAATTGAATTACATCACTGATAATCTGCAAAAGTTCATGTTGTATTCAGGGTAACACAAAGTAAACTCCCTTGCGGGATCACAATTCTCTTTAAATGCTCAAAACTTACATGTAATGCAGCAATAGACCAGTTCACGGTTAGCACGCGTCTCTAATGACCCTGAATATCCACAGATCTTCAAAACATGGAGAGGTCCCACTTTGTACATTTTGAAATAATCACTCCTACAGCAATGGAGGTGGTACATAAATAGCCTTAGTTTGTTTCCCCTTTTCAAAGAATTCTTCCACCTGTGTATCGTGGAGTGCACTGCTTGTGCATAAATGCATAATGATTAACTAACTTTCATGAGCACGTATCCAGTATTTTGTCTCCGTGTATTTCACAATTTGGTCTGCAATGACCTTCGTCTGCTCATGCTCAGACTGCAACTATAAACTGGCTTATTGCTGCAAACTTACATGTAATGCAGCAATTAGTGAAACTTGAATCGGAACAAAGAATTCAGACTTCTATAAATGAGCCTATAATACTTGACAATGGAATCATTCATTTCATGATTAACATCTCAACAAAGAGGGCATATCTGAGTTTCAAGACAGTCGTAACAGAACTACAGATAAAAATCAGTAATGAAAAGAGAACTGTTAGCAATTTTGGCTTAGATTATTTAATCAGGAAAGGAAACTGAGAAACAGAATTAAGGGGTTTAAAAAAAATTGTCCCAGATCTATTTTTGTGTGAAAGATTTCACAATGGTCAATTACAAGTTCTAGATATTTACAAGCAAAATTAATATTTGTAATGGACATTACAATCTATTTGATGGAAGAATGAAATTATTTGTTAACAATATACAAGAATAAAAGTGAGGAAATTAACTCCATGTATTTCATTGCCTCAAAACAGCTCATCAAAGTTTTTGGCCAACCAAAGGTGTACAGATCATAGCAGCCGCTTTTATGTAGCAAGTGTCTGCCTCCAAAATAGATGAATAACTGCCTATCACACAGATTTGTGTATAAAAATCTGCATGAAAGTCCCTTCATAGATAATGTTCATGTTAATGTTTACATTAGCCTGCATTAGATTCTCTGGAGGTCCTGATATGGTCATTTGACTTTCTTGGATCTGTTTCTATTCTTGACGTTCGTCTCTGCGTAGAAATGCTGTCCGACCTTCTTACTCTTCTGTGCTCTCTCGATGCTTCGCTTCTGTAGAGACAAATACAAAAAAAAGAAGGTGAAAACGATTGGTGCAATGAGATTTTACTTCCCCCCTCCTTCATCAATATTTGATTTAAAACACACTTGTTTTCAAAATCCTTGCACAAGTTTGTGTTAAATGATATCCTCTTTTACATCATTATACAATTTAGGTGAAATTTTGAAGTAAAATTTTTGGAGCTCCCAAAACACAAAAGAATGAAAATAATTCAAATTTATTTCATTTTGTTTTTGTTTTTGTTTGCAATGAAATTGAATCTTACCTGTTTTGATGTGAGTTTCTTCTTTCCTGCTTTCTCCTCTTCAAAGTATCTCTTCTTCTTTCTCCTCGTGTCACCTGCATCATCTTCATCACTGCTCCCTAGAGGGCAGTATGACCCGATGGGTTGCGGTTTCTTGCCTAGGGTAACAAAATCAAAACAAATCGTTAAGGTTTTATTAAAGCCAGGAATTCCATGACTTTTACAAGCCGATCGCCTGTAAAATTTCAAGATATTTAGGGTTGGAATTCGAAATTTCTATTGGGTAAAATGTGTATGGTAAAACCAGTCTCTCAAAGATTTTTACTTTTTGGAGGCACTTCATTATCATTTGGAAGCATGGTTTTTTTAGGGCTTCAATATTACACTGTATCACAGACAATGATAGCACTTAGGGCCATGCATCTCTTTAACATTGTTAAATGATGCCTTTAACATCACTGTGCCACTTTTACTAAACTCGTACCATCTTTTCCTTTATTGGTAGCCCTTTCATGACTACAAGCTGATATCTTACCTTTCTTTGCTGGTTTGTTTTGATCCTCATTACTCTCTGTTTGACTCCTCTTTTGCAACATGGCTTCTCTCTTCTTCTCAATCTTTGCCTTGGCTAAGAGTTTCTTGTTCTTCGTATTGAGGAAGACGTTAGCACCGTACGAGATACCGGTCTTTGCCTCCTCTTTTCTTCTAGTCCTCTTTACCGACTTCTTCACAGAGTCTGATGATGCTGATGATGTTGATGCTTCATTCGTTAAATCTTTTCCTGCTTTGTCACTATCTTCCATCTGACTGACTACTTCTTCACCATCTTCATCTTGTTCTCCTTCTGCCGCCGCCTCCTCCTCCTCCTCCTCCTCTTCTTCCGGTTCCTGTCCTTCCGTGACCTCATTCTCCTCGCCATCCATGTCCTTTGGTTTCAGATCGTCTCCAGCGAACTTTGGTCCGATGTTGATTTTGCTGAGGTCTTGTTTCACTCCTCTGATCTCCTTCTTCTTAGGGACGGTGTCCTCCTTGGCAACCGTGTCCTTGGCAACCGTTTCCTTAGTCTTCTTGGGGGATTCTTTCTTGTCAACATCTTCCCTTGAATCCTAAGAGATGGACATGAATAAAAATAGGAATTGGCAACTCAAGAGCGCTTATAGACTTTGGTGGTATAGCGCTTTATAAGCAATGTTTTTATCATTATCATTATTATTGAGAACATCATGATACAATATGATAGAGAAACAAGTGTTACCTACAGATCATCTATATTATTGACCTGAAAACTAGTCTTAATACCATCATCACATTTTTAATAAGAACTTCCTCATGTTGAAGAGTTTATGTATTTAATAGTGAACACTTCCCCCATTTTTCAATTTACCACTCCAAATTTCTGCTCAATACTTACGGTATTCCCAAATAATAAAAAAAGGAGATTTTTATAATAATAATAATAATACATAACATTTATTAGGCGCTTAATACTGATGTTTCTAAGCGCACAGTGTTCTGATTAAGAGAAGACTATAACCCGTAGAATTAAATTAGAAGAAAAAGCAAAAATACAAAAGTAACATAGATAAGGTAAGAAAAACAGTGGCAATCAACTAAATAAAGACAAATATGGTGCGCACCTCCATTGACCGACGCACAACTGCAATTTACAATTTGAAAAGATAGGTTTTGAGTAGAGATTTGAATTGAGATACAGAGGGGGCGCAGTGAATAAAGGCGGGCAGTTTGTTCCAGAGAGCGGGGGCAATAACTGAAAAGGCGCGGTCACCATACCGGGTGTTAGTGTTAGTTTATGCTAGTTATCAGACTATCATACATGAACATGTCAATCTCAGACTTCCACGTCTAGAAATCTAATTGTGATGTATATTCACAGCTACCCCCACATTGTGCTGCACTCCACCCAGGTGAAGTAAATGGGGACCTGGTAGGAATTTATTCCTTAAAACAAAGAGCATGTGACAGCTGCTCTGCTAAAGCCATGCAGGGTATTTATGCCGCATTATTGTAGAGCGCTTAGAGACTTCTGATAAAGTAAGTGTAAGGCGCTTGTTAAGCACATATACTTATTATTATTATTATAATTCACAAATAAACTCAGTCTTGCATGATGATTGACTTACCTGTTCACAGTTGGGTGGTTTGACAAAGAAAGGGATTTTCCCTCTTTGCCAGTCATTCAATACCATCTTAGCTACAGTACTGACATCAGGTTCACCTCCCTGTAGAAGAGGAATAGGGGGGGGGGGGGGGATAAGAATAAAATATGAATGTTAAAACACTGCTAGATAACGGTAGAATAGATATGATAGAGTTAAATTTACCAGGTGCATAATAAGATGAAAAGTCTCTAAAAGCTTAATGTAGTCAACCAAAGAATCAAAAGTGTTTTGAATTGATGCAAAATTAATATCATTGTCAAGAGGAAGCCTTACCACTGCCCCCAAAATTAGGTATGAAAACCCATAATGCTCTGCAGGCTTTTTCATTAGGTACACGTCGACAACTGAATTACGTAACGGTATCTGCAAATTAAAAAACATCATCAAAATCTGTTTCTTCAACGAAACGGCATCATTATCTACAATGAATCTTTCATACACCTTTCCATACCTTGTTTAGTTTTCCAGTACGTTGAGCGAGCTTCTCTAAGAAGTCGATATAATCAACCCACTCTGAGACGCGGTACGTCTTCTGTAAGTAGTCTGGTTTGACCCGTCTCAACACCTCAGGAATGTAGTCTTCTGGACCCTTCACATTCTCTATCCGTACCTATGATAACAAAACAAATTTTAAATTAATTCAAACATATTTGTGGCTTACACCCAATAAATAAGATCGATTGATCGATCTGTAATTGAAAAACAAGTCAGAAAAAAATCTTGGAACCAGCGGATTTGAACCTGTGTAAGCCACAAATATATTTAAACTATTGAAATTTCTCCCAGGAAGCATTACATTAACAATTTTTTTTAATTGTTCAGCTTTCATTATTTTTAACTATTTACAACAATGTATTAAAGATATGCTACATGTATAATGGATGACTTTCAATAACATTTGGGACTCTGATGATAAAAGTATCAGTACAAAGAAATTGAAATATCAAAATGATTTTCAACCAATCAGACTTTGTACATGTACGACTAGTATTGAACATTGGATATTAAGTTGCATTTACTTGAATCCTTAAAGCGAAAGCTCCCTGGGCAATCAAGTGCTCAATTATTATCTATGCCCCTCACATTTAAAAAAAATCTTATGGTAGAACCACAAGTACACTGAAATTCTTTGAAGACAGTAGTTCAACTCATCGGTAAAAAATATGATCTGTGCGTTTTTTCATCAAAGATAGACGATTAGGGTTAAGAATAGCAAATAAAATTTACGTTCAATTTAGGGCTAGGGTTGGTGTAAAAAGAAAATTGAGTGCAGTACAATAAGCCAGTTCATAGTTGCAGTCTGAGCATGAGCAGATAAAGGTCATTGCAGAACAAATTGTGAAATACATGGATACAAAATACTGGAATACACGGATACAAAATACTGGATACGTGCTCATGAAAGTTATGTATTCATTATTCATCTATGCACAAGCAGCGCACTCCATGATACAAAGGTGGAAGTATTCTTTGAAAAGTCTATTTATGTAGCACCTCCATTGCTGTAGCAGTGATTATTTCAAAATGTACAAAGTGAGACGTCTTTATGTTTTGAAGATCTGTGGATATTCGGGGTCATTTGGGACATGTGCTAACCGTGAACTGGTCTATTGTCACCAGAGCATGTACTTACCACTCCCTTGAGTACAATCTCTGTCTCTGTCTCTCCCGATGGATAGACCACTCCAGGACAATCTATCAAGAAGATTCTTCTCATCAATGTGATGTACTGCCATACCTGTCAAGACACCAACAAAGAGATACTTCAATAGAATACGTCTTCTGAGGTTTCATGCTGTATAACAACAGGATCTACATACCTTGTGCAACCAAAAAATGGAATTATGATGGCAATTTTTTTTTTTTATTAAAATGAAACTTACAACCACGCGCGACACACTTCCAATGCAGAAATGTCCATTCCTTATGCTGTTATTTCCATATAAGAACCAATTATTTATTTACAAGTAACTATTTTTTTTTTTTTTTGTATTATCTGCGTTTCAATCTTTTTGAGAATATCTACGCCTTTCCCTTTTTTTTCTGTTTACTATTTGTACATGATAAATCTCTAATGAAGTTTTCAACATTTTAGGGCATTTGGTTGATTAGTGGTATGTGCAACAAAACAAACAAAAATTGAGAAAAAAACAGAATAATTCCGGGAAAAACGTAATGGTTGGCAGCTCTGTATGCCCCTTTTTCATTTCTGATTTGAAACATCAACACAATCCTAACCAGGAATCTGTAAAGCATTAGAATCTAGTCGCCCATAAAAAGTGCTGAGAAGACTGTAACTTATTTGTAATTCAAATCAAAAGACAGAAGAAATGCATCTGCCATGCAATTCTAAATGTTTTTTAAGATCATTGCTACCCCGTCCCCTCCCCTAAAAAATCTTTACTAATTCCAACAATAGTTTGATGTTCTGTCATTTTGACATATAAATAAATCAGATGCCTTTATTCATTTCACATGCAGTTTCAAGATTTTAGTAATCAAAGAAGACGCACAAATATTGTAAGCATTAGATGTGGGCCTTAGTCAAAATGTGTCAATTTGGTAACGATTGAAAATCCATATTTATGATTATCCGTTGCCATGGTAATAGGTGAATGTTTACCTTGGTTTCTCCTGCAATCGGTGCCACATTGCAGACCTTCTTAGCCCTGAGGGTATTGATAATGGAACTCTTGCCAGTGTTAGGGTATCCAATGAAACCTATACTGATCTGCTTCTTATCTACATGGAGCTATGGAAAAATAAAAATCAATGTAAATATTATACTGTATATGGTTACATAATACAAGAAGATGGAAATCAATGCAAACATTATACTGTATACATGTATGGTTACGTAACAGAGGCATAGAAATACACGAGGATAAAAGGACGAGTTATATCTGTTCATTTTTAAGAGAAGCTAGAATTGTCTTTATCCTCAAAGTGGAAGGGGGGCAATTCCACGGTAACGGAAGGACACTCAGACAAGATTTTTGAACTTCAGGTTCATACTAAAAGAACTGTTTTATTAGTATAAGATGTGAAACAGTACAGATATAATACCTATATAAGTGCCTTTAATTCTCTCCAAAAAAATTGTCATTATAGTTAAGTAGTTTAAGAATGTGCATATTAATTATCTCGGTAACGGAAGGACATAAAAATGGACATGGTTTTTCCAGTTAATTAGTGTTTATCCAAACTTTGTGAAGTTGATGAAGCTTTCCACTTGACTGAAACACATTTTGTTCCCCATAGTTTAATACATACTAATAAAACATTTCTTTTAGTATGAACCTGAAGTTCAAAAATCTTGTCCTTCCGTTACCGTGGAATTGCCCAGGGGGGAAGAAAAGAAGAAGGAAAAAAGGGGGAAAAAAAGGGGGGAAAGAGGGGGAAAAAAAGGGGGAAAAAAAAGGGGAAAACAAAAAATGAAATTCCAGACAGATTTGACAGATTTGAATCCTACCTTGCCAAACTGTCTTAGTAGCTGTATGAGGGCGCCCTTTCCGAATGGATTCCTCATGCTGGCGTGGAACGCTAGGGTGGGGTAGTCATGGGATAAAATGGCTACCCATCGTTTCTAGATATGAGAAAGAACATACAGAAGCACATTAAATTGCAAATCAAGTATATGTAATCCATAGAAAATTAAGTTGGTACTTTTATGCATGTATTATTACCCACGATTCTTACTCGAATGAAGATAAGTGCAGTGCCAATATGAGCACTTTAAATTATTTGTGTCCTTTCTAGCTACTTTATAAGCTGTTATTTTCACGAGGGTTTTATTCTCACGATTTTTGCGAATCGCATATTATCGTCAATTTATCAACGCACAAAAATATTGGCACTTCATCATACCGGAGCGCGAAAATATCAGCATAAAATTAAGTGCTTGCTTCCTCTCGATCGTTAGCTACTGTACTACTATACTAGTACTAGTAAATGCCTTATGTTCTAATGCAATGCTGTTGCCTCCCGCCCTGCGCGTTCCTTCTCTCCTGGAGCGTATATTGCACAGATTGCATAACGCAGGCATGTATGTGATCCTCGTATGTACCGGGACGTTAACTTGGCTGTATGTGGTGCAATGGGCTGCCTAAACATGTGTGTGTACTTACATGAACGAGTCTGTGCGTAGGAAAACGCCAGCAACCGCGGACCACTCCATAGAAAACTACCTCAAACCGCGGACGTACCTGCAATGGGGGACCGTCCACGGTTGCGATACCGGTTCCGCCATATCAAATTTACGACGTAGGGGGCGTTTGAATATTAGATGTCACAGCGGCAACATTGACTGGATCAATCCGATGTGTATCGCGAAATGTCACAGCGCCCCCTTTTGACTGCGCGGGAGAGGTGCTCGCTACCTGGATCATCCCATAGGAGGTACGTCCGCGGTTTGATGTAGTTTTCTATGGAGTGGTCCGCGGTTGCTGGTGATTACCTACGCACACACACACAAGTACTAAACTTGGTCCACGGTTGACGCCATTTCCTTGTAGTGGTGTGCAGGCGCGTACGCAGGGGGGGGGGTTTGGGGGGTTAAACCCCCCCCTTTGGAAATTTTTTGTGTGTAAACCCCCCTAAAAAAAACCTAAAACCCCCCCCTTTTGGATTTTTTTTTTTTTTTTTTTTTTTTTTTTTTTTTTAATTATTAAAAAAAAAAAAAAAAAAAAAAAATTATTCCCATGGCCGACCTAAAAAAGGTGACCTTACCCCCCCCCAACGGAGCAAAATGTCAAATTTCCAAATTTCGAGACCAAAAAAAAAAAAAAAAGTGTCCTCTTACCCCCCCCCCCCCCCCGCTTTTTCAGCGGTCGGCTGAGTCGTTGCGATTTTTTTGGGACCAAAAAAAAAAAAAAAATGTGTCCTCTTACCCCCCCCCCCCCCCCCCCCCCCCCCCCCCCCGCTTATTCAGCGGCTGGCTAAGTCGTTGCGAAATTTTCGGACCGATTTATAAATGTTAAAACCCCCCCCTTGAAAAAATCCTGCGTACGCGCCTGGTGGTGTGTGTGTATGTGCTGGTGCGAGAAAGTTTGTGAATACTTCATGCTCATTCATTAATTCTGCTGTGGGCTATTCGCAAAAGCAACGACTCGCAATAATGTCTCTTAGCCTGTCATTCGCGAAAATATGTGTACACAAAATATTAGCTTATACAGTACTTATACTGCTTATACAGTACAGTGTCATTAGCATAAAGTCTTGTAGGAATACACCATACCAAATCAAATAAGATTCTGATGAATAAGTGACTTTAAAAGCTTGTTTGATTGAATGGGGATCGAGTTATAGATTGGTTTTGGGGTTCTTTATATAAATGAACACAACAAAACTCTTGCCCTTTGCTTGAAATCTATGGTTGGCTTTGTAAATAATTTTTTTTTTCAACAATTTTTTAGAAGAAAGAAATATAAGCCCAAAGAGGAAAAAAAAAATTAAAAGATTTCTGACCGACAGACCCATGTTTTGCCACCTAAAGGGCAATACAACATCATTCTTTTTCGGGGGCCTATTATAAACATTTCTGACTTACCGTAGCCCAAGTTGGGACTAGATCCACTTTGTTCAGAACAAAGATGAGGTGTTTATGAGGCTTTTCTTTCTTGAGGTAACTTTAAAAGCTTGTTTGATTGAATGGGGATCAAGTTTTAGATTGGTTTTGGGGTTTCGATATAATGAACTCAACAAAACTCTTGCAAGACTACATTAATATAAACATTTCTGACTTACCGTAGCCCAAGTTGGGACCAGATCCACTTTGTTTAGCACAAAGATGAGGTGTTTATGAGGCTTCTCTTTCTTGAGGTAGTTCTCTATGTACTTGGATCTTGTTCCCATCGGATCCCGGGCATCAAGAACTTGAACCACAACATCGGAAGAATCTATCACCTGCAATAGAAAGAGTTTGATGTGACTTTAATTTCATAGAAATGGACCGTTTAACTTGAATAAATTGAAATGAGTTGACTGTAAAGATGTTTATGCGTGGGTATATAGTCAGTCGTGAAGTAGGCAACTTGGCGAACACTGAGCCAACGAGTATAATGCTCCCGTACGGACGTACGCATAAAGGGACACTAGAACGCATGGGAGCGTAATACCCATTGTTGGCTCAGTATGCTGCCCTATATATACCCACGCATGAGCAACTTTAAGATGGCTTATGTTGAAGCATGCATTTGAATGATGTATACAAATATTGTTTTGATATTGGTTGTATAAATTAAAAAGTTTATGCAGTTACTTTTATTTGTTATAAAAATAAAAAATTACCCATTGGAGCAAAGAAACGGGGGGAAATTGCATGTATACGGTACTCTGCCATATCATTGTAAAAGCATTTTGGAAAGTGGTTATGTCCTCTTGAGTTACAATTGCAAAGTTGAGGGTTCAAATCTTGTGCTGGTTACAGTCCTCACACATCAATGTACTACACACAACACATTACCATATTCAATGTCTTTTTCTGAATTTCCCTCTTGTTTAAAACCTAGGCATTACCTTATAGAGTTCATTCCATATTCTTTTGGACTGTCCAGCTCCAAAGACCCAATCTTTGACCTCATCCCTGACTCCTCCATCATCGAACACCAAGTCAGTGTCCTTCTCGACGTCGTACTTATCACTAGACTCCTCTGCAGACTTTACCAAGGACTACACAAAAGAAAACACACAGGATTGGTGGAGAATTAAGACTAATGAGCATACATTACATGCATCCATCCTTTCCTCTCCCAAAAGTACACTATGTAGGCATAAAAGAACCTTAAAGATAAAGACCAGTTATGGTCATGTGATTGCATTGTAAAAGAAACGTTGTGGAATCGATCAGAAAGGTTGATTATCTAGCATATAAGTATTGGCGTGTACTGCAAGGTTCTGGAATCATCAAAATCATAAGAAATTTGGCCCAGTTTTGGTAAAGTTACAAGCACTATACACAGAAAGATGTATATGGGACTATGCACACGTGCAAGACACGTGCGTTTATCTCTCACATAACAATAGATAAAATAATTTACCAAATATATCAATTAGTAGGCAGTTCCTCAGCAAAATTTGTATGATCACGTATTAGTCAAAACATATTCTTTCACATGATTGGTAATAGAAACTTCCATTTCATTTTTTGAGAGGGGGGCGTTTCCAAAACTGGTCTTTACCTTTAAGAGTAAGTTCAAGGCAATCTTTTCTTGAACAACTTGTGGAAGAACCTCTGTAAAATACCATACAGAATAAGAAATCTACAAACTCATGAGTGCCAGTGGTAATCCAATGTGTGCACATGTGTGTAATCCTTTCCTCATGTGCATAATTTTCTGGTAGCTATTAATTTATAACTGGTCCAAACATCTTCATAATGCATGCTTAAAAGCAAAGCACACAGAAGTTGGTATGAGAGATTAATTACTAGCACATGTTGTTTTAAAAAAATGGTCAAATCATTTTTATCAATATTCTGATAATGGGGGCATTTGAAGAGCAGTCATTTGAATGCGGCATTGCCAGAGCTGCCAACCTTGTGCGACCAAAAAAGGAATCATGATGGCAAAAAAAAGCAATTTCAAGCAAAAAAAAGGAATTCATAAAAACGAAACTTACAACCACGCGCGACACACTTCCAATGCAGAAATGTTCATTCATCATGCTGTTTTTTCCATACAAGCAGGAATTTTTTTATGGTGGTTATTTTTGTATTATCGGCATTTTATTTATATAAATTTTATAAAATTGGTTTTCTATCGAATTTGTGATCGAATCACCATTTTAGGGTAGTTGTTTGACGTACAGTATGTAAAAAAGAAAAAAAAAAGAAAAAAAAAAAAAAAAGTATTTTATAAAGAAAAAACGTAATACCAAAACGGAGTAATTCCAGCAAAAACGGAATGGTTGGCAGCTTCTGCACTGTAATTTAAAGGAGAACACTCACATATGAATGTCCAGCTTTACAAGAACTGAAGAGGCGTGATGGCTCAGTGGTAGAGCCAAGTCAAACCAAGTCAATACCCTTGTGCCCTTTGGTAAGGCATTAATCCTCATTACCAAGTCCCTCTGAGAGGACTTAAAGCAGTCGGTCCCCTGGTTGTTAATACTTACAAGCATTTATGCTTTCTTAGCAGTCAGGTAAAAAAATCATAATCAAACAACCCCCCCCCCCCCCCCCCCCCCCATATGCATGTTCCCTCCCTTTGAAAGCACTCCCCTAAGTCCGGTGTGTAAAGTCAATGCGAGTCGATTTTTGTGTGTATTACGAGCTGGACTTTGTTGCACGAAAAGTACCCCTTTATCAGAGATTTTGGGAACATGAATGCGGTCCCTTTGTTCCCTGAGTGAGGGGCCGGGCATCAAACTCAAACAAACTCAAATTTCTCAGCAAACTCACCTCTACATCTGCCACCTTGATGTTGACTCTCTTCCTTTGTTTCTTGGGACCAAACGTTGATCCAAAGCTCTCTGTATCCAACAGGTGAACACGATTGTACTGTGTACATGTATTTAAAAAGAAATGTAGAAGTGTGGGTAGAGATTGTTAGAATTGTCCATGTTCAAGTTACATATAATGAATTTCTCTACTTTCATGATTCATAATTATTTTTCAGTCCATATTTTGGCACACAACCAATGTCTATTTCTAAGTTCTGACCTCACAGCTGTGACAAATCACAATCACAAAATTTGATACCATACATGTACATGTACACTTTCAGGAAATTTATGTATGATTATATACATTTTTTAGTAGACTTATTGACATAACTTCAGGTTATTACCCTTTTTCTGACTCATTCATCAACTTGTTTTTTCTTTTGAACACCATCCTTCTCTTTCTCCTTTCTCTCTGTCTGTCTCTGTATGTCTGTTTGTATGTCGTGTCTGTCTCTCTCTCTCTCTCTCTCACCAAAACTCTCACTCCCTTTATCTCTCAATCTGCCATTTGTCTTCCCTCTTATTCTCCCCATCCTCCTTTTCTCTAACTGATAATACAATCTTACCTTGGCCTTCTCTTGCAGTAGAGTAATGGGTAGCTTGGTCTCTCACTCACTCACTCACTCACTCACTCCTACTCTCTCTTTTCCTCTTTCTTCCTTCTACCCCTCGCTCTCTTCCCTCCATCACCCTATGTTTACAATCCTTACCTTAGCCTTCTCTTGCAGCAGAGTAGTACTAGTAGCTTGGTCTCTCACTCACTAACTCACTCACTCCTACTCTCTCTTTTCCTCTTTCTACCTTCTACCCCTCGCTCTCTTCCCTCCATCAACCTATTTTACAATCGTTACCTTAGCCTTCTCTTGCAGCAGAGTAATTGGCAGCTTGGTCTGTTTCATGACGACCTGATACGGATCCTTGATGACCTTCCCAAGCTCCTCCTGGAAGGTCTGCAATGCATTTTGGGATACCACCCTCGTATTGCCTATGGTAACAGGGTAACAAAACAAACTATAATTCTACTTTTCAAACATCTCATTGGTAGTATTAAATACACCAGGGCCTCCTCTAATAACAAGTTAAAATTGATACAAAGCAATCGTAAGTCCTCCAATCAATCATGTCTTATGGTCTCCTATCTCTTATGGTACATACATGTAGTTGCAATTGTCATCAACTCTTTATAAGACTTGCCATACTTGTAAATATGAAAAATGATGACAATATCCCAGAAAATGGACAATAAATAATAAAGTCATAATTCCAATACAATTTGTTTCAACTGTTATACTTTATCTGCATACATGTATGAGTATTGAGTCATTTTTCACTTATCCCATTTTCAATTCACTATCACCTCGAATATAAGTTAATTCTTCAGTCGACTGAATTCAAGACAACGTTGTAAGTCAATGATTTTGAGCTCTTAAAATAAAAACATTACAAAGTCTTAGGATGTGCACAAGCATCTATAGTACTTGAACAGGAGTACATGTATCAATAGCAGCTAGGGTAAAGGGCAGAGGGGGGGATACACAGGGGCTCAGGGCGAATTAGCCCCCAAAATGCCAAAAAGAGCCGCTGAAAATCATAAAAAAGGCCCCCCCCCCAAAAAAAAAAAAAAAAAAATAATAATAATAATACTAATAATAATAATTTAAAAAAATTAAAAATTAAAAAAATAGAATAAATAAATAAATTTGAAAAAAAAATTGCAAAGAGTTCAATGCAAAACAAATTAAACAGTGTTATTTTCATGCAAGCAAGCTTGAAAAGTAGTCCCCAAATTTAAAAAAAAATTCTTTTACCTGGTAAAGGGGACATGAAGTGTTTTACCCCTCAATAAAATAAAAATAAACCTTTCTCGATACATACATTTATCGGTGCATTGAAATACATGTAATTGTACATGAAGGCCAGTATACATGTATCATCTCATAATAAAACACAAATGTGACCCGGCACCACAAAACCAACAAAAAGTCGCAACCAGCGATTCTCCGTAATCAGCTAAAGTGTCAATTTAGGTGAAAAAAAATAGATTTTGTTTTTTTTGCATTTTCTGAAAGAGTGGTCTTTTCTGTACCTAGTATCAAAATTTGGAAGTCTAAAACATAGTCGAAGATGTGTTTTAAACGGTTTTTCTAGACCAGTTTTTTTCGCACAGCCTTCGGTCTCTTCCAAAATTTGATCACTTTTCCCGAGCGAAATTATCGTAGTCCGGAAATGGTCGGTCGTTGCTAACGGGTCGTGCTACGCGGGCTGTGATTGGTCCGTTATAGCAATCAGTGCGGCGCGCCATTTTGTTTGTATCCGCTTTCACATCCGAGTTCCAGATTTGCGTTCGTCTTATATTCTCCGTTAACGACTTCGAGTAGCTTGATTGTACATCACATATCCAGAATTTGTTGATCAAGATTAAGAACATTATTATATTTTATACATTTGAGAGTGACAAGTTGCGAAAAAGTCTACAACGTCGTTACAATGCCAGGTTTTGTACGTGAGCAGAGCCGTGGGATGGTACCGGGGTGCACCAACGCAGATGCCCGGGTAGCTCGTGCGGTCAACGAAGCGATGATGCGGGGGCTAGCTGCGGGGGATCAGGCCAACCTTACAGCTTTGCTTACTGAACACTTCGGGCAAGACAGCGACGAGAGAATTCCTGATAATGTGGTTACAAATCATTGCCCAGATGTATACAAAACAAGATAGGTGACAAGCAGTGTTATGTAAGGGGGAACAAAAAGACTCCGGGTCCACCGTGAATAGGCATTGTCTAGTGCAGGTGTCTCGGCACTATGTTGCAGTTCACTTAATCTGTCCAATTACAACTCTATACATTTACAACATAATAACTTTTGAAAGACTTAAGTCCACACATTGAAACCTCAGAAACATAATGAACAGACTATGTTTGACCATCAGGCCAAATTTCAGCCTAATCTGAAAATCTCTTCACAGTGGTTGCTATGGCCTTTTGATTCACCCTTCTATTGATTTCCCTGTGGTTTGCTTGCTCCGCATGCTTGAATAGCCCCAAACTTTAAAGCTCTCTTTCTCACAATTTAATACCAGTAACCTCCCTCACCAGCTCTTTTCATTCACTAAATTGAAAGGGTTAGGAAGCTTCAATTTGGACAAGTAATATACCATTTTAATGAGGAGAACTTCTTCTTTCATAATCAGATGAAATCAGGAAAATAATTTTTTGCGACTTTTTGGTGGTTTTGTGGTGCCGGGTCACAAATAGTCATGACTAAGAGTAATCTATGGACTACTTACCAAACCATTTTCTATTTGGCTCTACTCGAGCTACTGTCCCTGACTTCAGCTGTTTCTGAAACGGAGCTGCCATCACAATTTTACCCTTCCGATTTCTGAAAAAGAAATAGAACATCAATATATTAAACATTAACAACCTGAAAATGTGAAAATGTGAATTCATAGCAGTAGATATTGAATACCACTGAAAAACATATTTATTTTTGTTTCAAATTAAGCAAATCAACACTACAAATAATTTGCTATTGACTTTGTGCCTAGATTAGGAATGAAAGTAGGAAAACTGAAGAATCTTTTAGGCAGGATGAATGATTTAAATGACAGTAATAAGTTATCATTGATTCTGATACACTGTGAAGATGAGACTTTGATATCTGTACTGCATAAGAAAAATGTATTCTTTGTATCAAAAAGATAAAAACTTCTTTTCAGACGGAGTACCTTGAGGAAATTTCAAATCAACAAAGAAATAATAATATTGTTGAGTATTTGTAATGCGCCATCTCCACATGACTAATGTGTTTGAGGTGCAATGGAGAAGAAAAACTACAAGAAAACTCGAAATTACTCTAGTTTAAAATACAACTTAGATGGGCCCCGTCCATTTTAAAAAGTTTATTGGTGATTTACAATTTACACAATTTAATATGAAAGATGTACCTTTGGGGTTTTCCCTTCCGATACATGTTCAATCTCATGATGGTTGAGCGGTCTCTCATGCCACTCCCTGCATTGCCTCGATCTATAAGGAACAAGAAGAGTCATGAACATTCATCACATGTTATAAGTAGCCACACAAAGAATCAAAAGTGTTTTGAATTGATGTAAAACTCATATCATTGCGAAGGGGAAGCCTTGCCGATCAAATACAACAACTCTTCTCTTCAAAATATGTTTGGGGCTCGCAGTAATCAACTCTCAAAAATGTTAGTTTTTAGATCCAGATTTTCTGCCTTCAGCGGTCCTTTGTAGAGCGTCAATATTTGTGACGTCACATACGGGACATGGCTGGCTAGCTGCATACTGCTACACGGCACTGAGCTGTTAGTCAAGTGTGTGACATCACAATTCAGAGCTCGCTACGCTTGTGTGTTTGACTTACGTTCAGGGGCGTTCGGGGGTCTAAGGAGGGTCTTGAAAAATTGCATTTTACGCCTTTCCATGATATCTCTATGATTTCTCAGCAAACTGTTCGTGTTTTTCAAGAGAAAATCTTTCCATCCATATGTAATTTGTTCTAATTATGAGTTGTTAGTGAATTTTCTTTGTGTAGCTCCTTTAAACAGGCTGTATGGCATTACTACTACAAAATATAATCATAGAAAAATAGACCATTAGCTTCAACTGGTATGCCATAGCAGATAGTATTTGCAACAGTGGAATGTGGCTCTTCAGAAATAATAAGGCACATTTTCATCATATGATGAAAATGTAATAAACTTTTGAGATTCACAGAACAAGGAATTTTTTTTCCTCACAATTCTCTCCCCGGGCGCAAGTTAAAATTTCACGATAAATCTTATTGACGAACACGATTGTCAACACTAGATCTAGTTCACTTTTTTATCATTTTTTTACCAACTCAAAATATCTGACAAAGAAATGTTTCATGGTTTCATATCTAATTGTATTTCCATTCCGTTTAGAGTTAATATCCAGGTTGATCTATGAGCAGTACGAGTATGGCTACATCAATGTGAGTGATGGCTGCAGTCCACCTCATTGTGATCAGTAGGGGCCCTGGTCCGAGAATGAGGATCATAAACGAGGATACAGGGAGAAAAAAATAAGCGGGGGCTCAGGGCCAGGGAAAATTAGCCCCCGAAACTAACCGAAAATGCCCAAAAGAGCCCCCGAAAGTCTTAAAAGAGCCCCCAAATTTTGCATAGAGTTCAAAACGCGGACAAATCGCGTCCTAAAAAATAAGGATCGTTCGCATTTTTGCAGACCTTTTGTATATTTGACGCTCTGCAAGTTTTCGGGTTCCCGATTCTTGCGCTGGCAATGCGAAAAACAGATTCCGCGGAATAAAATACCCCCAGTTAACCGTCTACTAGTATTATGGGTTGTCCTTCTTCCAGAGGATAACGTGAGAGTCTCTGTACGTAGTCAATGTGAAATACATCAACAAAATCATTGTGGAATCCGTTTTTCGCATCGCTGACGCCCGGATCGGAAAGTAGAATCGTCAGCGAAACTGAGGACAATCCTCATTTTTGAGTCCTAAGCATCTGTCCGCATTTACGAAGACGCCGATACCCATTTAACGCGGGCGATCCCCATCTATGCGGGCGATCCTTATTCTCGGACCTCCCCACTGGCCGTAGTGCGGTCAACCTCGTTGTCTTAGACTTCAACAATGAGGTCGACTGCAGCTAAGTTCTGGTTCTTCTTTTTTCTTTTTCTCCCCGTCTACTGCTTCTTCATCATGTTCTTCCTGAAAAGTGCAGGCTTCAATTCATGAAATGAAGATTAACACACTGTGAATTATTGTCATTGATATTAGACCTATTTCTATAACTTATGGGGAGTGAGATTTCCTCATCTGATATTTTTGTTCGTTTTAAACACTGCACTGAATAATTGAATTGAAAAAGAATTTATCAAAATCAAATCATCAATCTTGATAGAAATTAAAGTTGAACTTGAGACAAAATAGGCAAAATTGGGCCATTGATTATTCAAAATCAACTTACCTGGGTTTGTACTACTGTTGGACTTCTTTATTCCTTGCTCCTTCCTTTTCTTCTTTTCTGTTTTCGCCATTTTGGTGAGATATTGTTGACAAACAGGACAGAATACGAACGAACCACTTTCTTAAAACTTGAAAATGAACGCGCGGGACTGAAATGATAAATTGTCACGTTGTTGCAGCTAACTACATGCACGTCATGTGTACGACTACGACGTACGTGATGACCGAGTCAAAGCGAAGATTTAAGCTAGTCTTGTACGTAGACGTGGTTGTGTTCATGAGCGCGAGTTAGTCTGCTTGCTCAGTCTTCTTTTTTTTTTAAATACACGTAGTAGGCCTACGCAAGTGAACGCGCTGCATAAATTGGCATATAATCTTCCAATGGGCCCGGGAGGGGGTATAGGCAGAGGCGGCGCTCCTGGGGGACAGGAGGGGGGGGGGGGTGAACAGCGCCCCCACTTTTTCAAGTACCCCAAATGTGCCCTTTTTAAATAGGTAAAGTGCCCCTTTTACTTTGACAAGTTCCCATTTTCTTTTGCAATAAGTGTCCATTTTCCATTCTCATAAGTGCCTTTTAAAATCTCTAGTAAGTTCACCTTTACAGGTACGAGAAGCGCCCATTTGCACTTTTGATAAGCGCCCCCCTTCACCTCTGATAATTGCCCTATTCAAATCTGAGAGGTTCCCCTTTTTCTTTGTAAAAATTGCCCCTTCCCCTTTTAATAACTACCCCTTTTTTATTTGGATAAGCGCACCTTATATTTTCAAATGTGCCCCGTTTCTTTTTTTATAAACATTTACTTCTCATAAACATTAATTTTCTGCCTCTATGTGAATGATATTTGTAACCTGCAACTCCATTCTAAGACAAAGATTTCCTTATATGCAGATGACACGGCAGTATTTCATCATGGAAAGGATTATAAAGTTTGTGAATACAATCTCCAAAAAGATTTTACCCGTATCTTGAAATGGCTAAAATACAATGGACTGTTTTTAAATGCAAATAAAACCAAAACAATACTATTTGGTTCCAAAAGAATAATTCAAAATAATAATATCTGTATTCGTTACAGTGACAATGTACTCGACTCAGTCGAAAGTATGAAATATCTAGGTGCAACACTAGACAAAAGTTTAACATGGTCGTTACATGTAAAAGAAGTTGTTAAGAAAGTATCGGGTACGATTGCCTGCATTAGACGTATACGCAATTATATTTCCCGTAAGAATCTTATTACATTATACTATTCTCTTATCCTACCGCATTTTAACTACTGTAATTCAGTATGTGGAAATACTTCGAAACAAAATCTAACAAAGTTGCAAAAATTACAAAATAGATATGCACGATTAGTTCTTCGTGCCGAATATTTTACACCCCAAAATGTTTTAATGAGTAAATTGAAATGGCGGTCATTAGAGGAAAGAATTAAATATCAGAAATGCATCTTGATTTTTAAAATCATAAACGACCTATCACCACCATATCTTAATCCATGTATAAGTAAAAGACCGATATCATATTCTACTCGTTATGCTTTAAACAGTCCATTATTCATTCCAAAGTGTAAAACAAATTTTAAAACGAAAACCTTAGCGGTCTCAGGAGCTAAAATATACAATAAATTACCCTATCATATTAAAAATTGTAAGTCGCTGCAAAGTTTTAAAAAGAATGTCAAAACCTTTCAGTTTCCGTTGTAAACATATTTTCACGTTAATTTGACCTTTATTTATTACATTTCATTTATCTAGTTTTCTCAATTTGATAGTTGTATTTTTTTTCCTTATAATTTATTGTTAATGCGTGTTTTTCGTTACCTATGTTTAATTATTGTATATACCATGTATATTTTATCTTTGTATATATGTTTTGAATTCATGTTATTATTGTACATGTTTTTATGTGAATACAGGGCTCTCTGGGAGAGCAGGCTCATAAATGAACTTGAATGAGACCACCCTGTTAAAATAAAACTATAATAATAATAAATAAATAAATAAAAATAATAAGTGCATGCCCCTTTCCCTTATGAAAAATGCCCCCATTTCAAAAAGAGCCCCTTCCCCTTCTCATAAATGCCCCTTTCCCTTCTCATAAACACCCCTTTTCATCTCTTGTAAATAACCCTATTCAATTCTAAGAGATACTCGTTTTTACTTTGACAAATGCCCCTTCCCCTCCTGATAAGTGCTGTTTTCATTTCTTATAAATGCCCCTTTTATTAAGTGACACGTCCCGCTTTTCCTTCCTAATAAATACTCCTTTTCCTTCTTATAAGTGCCCATTCCCCTTCTCATAATTACCCCCTTTTTACCTTTGATAAGTGCCCCGTTTATTTTAACATGTGCCTTTCTTTCTTTTTAATAAGAGCCACTTCCCCCTTCTCATAAAAGCCCCCTTTCACCTCCGATAAATGCCCCTATCAAAATATGATGGGTGCCTCTTTTCCGTCGACGAATGCACATTTTGGCATTCTTATAAAATCCTTTTTCATCCCTGGTGCGTGCCTCTTTCTTTAGTCGTAAGAAGTGCCCCCTTTGGCCATTTGCACCTCTGATAATTAGGCTTAGCCTTTGTACTTTGACACGTGCTCCTTTTCTTTTCCAATAAGTGTCTTAACCATTTCGATAAGTGTCCCCTTTGCTCCTCATCATTAAACGTGCCCCTAATTTCAAGCGACTAAGAGCAGTTTCCCTCAAAGCTCGCTCGTTACGCTCGCTCGTAGTTATAGATGTTATAATTTTGTAAATTATCAAAGGCCTTTTTCAGTCTTCCGTTATGAGAATGTGCTTATAATAACCCCATCAGGATTGGGGTTTTCCTCTTTATAAGATGTAATTTTTCGCACTGCGACCTCACAAATCTTAAAGATTGAATGAATTTTCAGACCATCACGACCAACTGCAAAGTAATATCTTATATGTTGTATAAAGAGACAAAAATAATGAAATCATCCCTGATAAAGTAATCACAATATAGGGTTATATACAAATGTCAAACAAATTGTATATTCTCGCTTTGAGATTTCTCTTGGAAGGTGCCCTTTTCCCCCAGGAAGTGCCCTTTTTGTTGGTGCAGCCCCCCCCCCCCCCACACACACACACACTTTGGAAGTCGGCTCTTGGTATAGGGATAGAGTCTCTTACCTTAATATCAACCTTCCAAATGTCCTCTCTTTTTTCTCTTTTTTTTTTTTTTTTAAAATATCATCTAAGGGCTATAAAGACAGGCATATACTCCACTAAAGGCTTGATTAACGTAGCCAGTGTACACACACAGTCATTAAATCCTCACAGCTAGGGGAGCTTGAAAGATTTGAGTTGTCTCAACATGTAAATTCTCCTGCTAGCCTTGGAAAGCATGGTGCTTACATCCGGGCTATTCCATATTATATCCTGCATCGAAAATTTGTTGGCTTTTGATTGGTTGAGAGCTCTTCACATGACCAGAAATATTTGACCTATTTTTAGAAAGTACTATATGAGAGTACTATTTGGTTTACTATTTGGGAGTTGAAAAAAAAATGTGATTTTTTTTTTTTTTAATTGAATCAATTTTTTTTCTTCAAATCTTAATTTAATGAAAACAAAATATTTTGAATCTTTTTAGATAAAATTGACATTTTTTTTGTTCTAAATTTTTTTGAACCAAAAATGTTTTTTTTTTTTTTTAAATAAATTTTTGATGCAGGATATAAAACAAATACGCCATGCCTTCTATTCGAGGTACTGGTTAAACTATGGGCCTCGGTGACTCCAAAAGTACCATTTGCTTCGGGGCTGCGCCCCTCAGCAAATAGTACTATTGGAGTCACCTCTTGCGCATAGTTTTAACCAGAACTTCTCAAGGTAGTGTATATTTGTATATTATGAGATCTGATTGCACAAGGATACCTCGTATTTTACAACAAGTATATTCATTCACAAAGACTAAGATCGATTTTAAGTTGGACTTAACTATGGCAGGCCGTTCATGCCACTGTTTTCTCTCACCATTTACTGGCATTGGTCTCTCAATTAGGGACGTACAAATCATGGTCACAAATTTACAGAATTTACATTTGTTGATAAATCATTATTGAAGGAAAACATTATCTAAAGATCATAACTAATGCCGTGACTGAGCGAACAGTGGCATGAACAGCCTGTCATAGTTATGTCTAACTTAAAGTCGATCTTAGTCTTTGTGAAACACCCCTGCATGTTTGCCTATTTCAACATTCGGTGGTAGCATATCCAAAGGTGACTCCCATCACATGTCACTTACGATAATAGCATTCAACTTCATGTTGTTTGTGTGACACCACGTATATACGTGCTAAGTTCGTAATAATAATAATAGTTCGTTCTTTTATTACAGCGCATTTCAGGACCGAAGACCCTCTCAAAGCGCTTTACACTTTACAATGTACGTTCATGAAGGCTATTCATGCTTGTATTTTGCTTGTCAAAGTTGCCCTTTATGCAAAGATCGAGGCGTCCGGGATTTGGGAAAAGAGGGGACACAATTTGTTACTTTCCAAACTGCTGAGAAGCAAGCAAAGTAAAGAAAAATAACAAATAACAAAAAGAAGTCATCACCCCAACAATAAAAAAGGAGGAGAAGGACGCTTTGGGCCTTGCAGAAGGGGACAGAGGGTATTCACTTGAGTTCAAAGGTTATTGTTTCTCTCTCTCTCTCTATATATATATATCAATCTGCCACTGCCACTGTTCCCAGCATATGTTGGAATATAATGCAGTCATTATTGGAGGGAACTTGAGCGATTCCCATTTTTTCGAAAGAGAGAGGGAGAAGGAAAGAGAGAGAGAGAGAGAGAGAGAGAGAGAGAGAGAAAGAAGGTGAGAGAGAGAGAAAAAAAAGAGGGAAAGAGAGAGGGAAAAAGAAAGAAGGAAAGAGAGATTGTAAGAGATGAGATAGGGAGATGAGGGAGAGAGCTGAGAGAGGCAGCGGGGGGGGGGGGGGGGGGGTGGGGTACACAAAATTGTTTTGAACTTGAAAAATGTATATATAATATACAGAAATTTTGACAATTAAAATGGGATGGTATATAATTAAGAATGTCGAAATACAAGGGACTGAAGTGAAAGTGGAAGTTTGAATGTTCATATAACTCAACAATAGGTCCCGTTCAGAAGAGTTCAAAGGTTGGTAAGGGGGGGGGGGGGGGGTAACAAAAAAAGGGGGTAAACAAAATGTACAGTATATTGTGTTGAAGTGACAAATGTATAGAGGCCTATGTTGACAATAAATATGGGATGGTATCGAAATGCGAGGTACTGAAGTGTAAGAGGGAGATTGAATGTTCATAGAATTCAACAATAGGCCTCGTTCAAAAGAGTTTAATTTAATTATAGCAATATAATTATGTGCAATATTAAGTGTCATGATGATTGGCATAGCGGGTTCTTCCATTCATTCGTATTTTGATATTGCATGTGCTTTTATCCTTCCTCTCACTCCTTCATCCCTTTTTCTCTATTCGAACTTGCTACTTTTCAAATTTCCTTTTCTCTTCTTCAGTTCTGGTCTTTCCTCTCTATTTTTATTTCACTCCCATTCCCTCTCTCTCTCAGCTCTATGTCTCTCTCTCTGTCTCTTTGCCTCTTTCTCTCTTCTTCCTTCTCTCTGTTTCTCTCTCTCTCACTTTCTGTCTCTCCCTCCTCCTCTCAGCCTCTTTCTCGTCTGATGATGTTTTACAGTACAACATTCTATAATCATGTTTTTCTTACTGTGTCCAATAACACCTAAGGAATTCCAATTCTTTTAAATAATGATAAATTAATGATAAATTATAATTGGTAATTATAATTATCAGTATGGTGTATGTCATGTATTTCAGCAATATAATTACGTGCAATATTAACTGTCATGATGATTGGCATAGCGGGTTCTTCCATTCATTCGTATTTTGATATTGCATGTGCTTTTATCCTTCCTCTCACTCCTTCATCCCTTTTTCTCTATTCTAACTTGCTACTTTTCAAATTTCCTTTTCTCTTCTTCAGTTCTGGTCTTTCCTCTCTATTTTTATTTCACTCCCATTCCCTCTCTCTCAGTTCTATGTCTGTCTCTCTCTGTCTCTTCTCTCTCTCTCTCTCTCTCTCTCTCTCTCTTTGCTCTCTCTGCCTCTTCCTCTCTTCTTCCTCTCCACCTCTTGCTCCTCTGATGATGTTTTACAGTACAACATTCTTTAATTATCTGCTATTCTTACTGTGACTAATAATACCTAAGGAATTCCATTGTTTTCATGTGCAATATGTTTATATATTATACTGTACTCATATCACACTTAGCACACTGCCAAGACTCCAGTTTTAATACTTTTGAATACTTTTTAATACTCACTATACCTTCTGAATGGAATTTGTATTGCATTTTATCACAATTTTCCAATGTTACAGTTAATTTAATTGAACTCACGTACAGGCGCGTACGCAGGATTTTTTCAAGGGGGGGGGGGGGGGGGGTTAACATTTTCAAATCGGGCCGATAATTTCGCACTCGACTCAGCCAGCAGCTGAATAAGCGGGGGGGGGGGGGGGGGGGTTTAGTCTCGAAATTTGAAAATTTGACATTTTGCTCCGTTGGGGGTAAGGTCACCTTTTTGTCAGCCATGGGAATATATATATATTTTTTTTTTTTTAAATTAAAAAAAAAAAAAAAAAAAAAAAAAAAAAAAAAAACCAAATGGGGGGGGGGGGGGGGGGGGGGGGGGTTTAGGGGGGTTTATACACATAAAAATACCAAAAGGGGGTTTAACCCCCCCAAACACCCCCCCCCCTGGGTACGCGCCTGCTCACGTATCTGTATACACTTTATTTGTTTTTATGTAAACATTTATTCATTTTCGTTAGCAATATTTCATATCTTGTATTTTTTTTTAATCCTTTTTGTTTGTTACTACTTTAATGTTTTGATTTAAACATTTATTCATTGTTATATATTGTTCTCATTTGCTATGTTATCTTTATATGTATATGTACACATGTTTTTGAATGCTTTTTATATTGATGTAAACTTGCATTTTTAGTCCTTGGACTTTTTGACAAGTCAAGAATAAAACCTTATTTGAATATTGAATCTTGAATCCAGTTTAAAGGTTCATGATATCTATAATGATTATCCAGGGAGGTGAGACTCCCTGGTTTCTCTACATTCTGTCACGTAGCCTATTGTTCCAAAGTGCTGGCGTTGGAATGCGGTGTATACGTGAAGAAACCGCGCTCTCGATCCGCTTCAGTTCAGTAACTGAAAGCATGCTGAAAGCATTATGTTCGTGTTAGAGTTACACTGACTTTGTTACATGGAGTAAGAACTTTTAACACGCTCAACCATTTTGTAGGTAACTAGTAAACCGAACATTTGAACCTTTGAATAAATCAACCATGGAAACGCCTTCCATTGGAAGTGAAATAGAAGAAGGTACACTTGCCAGTGAAGGGCGAGCTGCTCGTGATGATGGAAGTCGTACAATTATCTGGTGTGTACCTCGCTCTGTTTCTACGGCTCTCACAAAGTGTCTTAGTTTCATTGAAGGTATCCAAGTTTGGCTAGAACCCTACAGCTACTGCCGAACCACCCGAGTGATTATAAAGCAACAGCTAGACCTTGATGTACCGGCCGAATACGAAGGGAATGAAGAGATTTATAAACGAATGACTGATCACTTTAGAGAGACTGGGCAGGGGAACACAACGATACACGAAAACCTATCGTAAGTTTTCTTTATTTATGCCCCCATGCACCCCTTTCCCCCCCACCCCCAATCGAATGTTGAAAGGAGCAGGGGAAAGAATAAAGGGAATACAGGACTGGGACAATTTGAGAGGGCGTAAATTTCCTGTTCTATAACTTTTAAAGACTGTGAGAGCATTAAGGACCACTATTGAGATGGTTCCAAATAAGCTGTTTTCCTCTTTTACAGATTTATCTGTAATATGGTAAAATATGTTTGTTGCAGGATTTAGGCCCTGTTTCATAAACTTGTTATCATTAACAAATTTCTATGAAAATTACCTCTTAGCCAATCAAATGGCAAGATTTCAGGAAGTTTTAAGACTTATATCTGTTACAGTTATTGTAACTTGTCATTAAGAACAAGTTGTATGAAAGAGGGCCCTGGTAGCTAGCCATTTTCAGGCCCGGCCGACGACAGACTCATTTGGGTGATAGACAAATAGTTTTAAACGTTTTTTTCGTGCCCCCCTTTTCCCTTCATTTAACAGTTATGCATCGATCGGTCGTTTTTTGGAGCATTCGGTAAGCCGTCATGTCTTGGTGAAGGATATGGCCTTTGCTCTGTCCCCCGAACAGTACAAGTTCCTTCCAAAGGGCTTCAAGCATATCTTCTTAATTCGACATCCTCTTAGAGTGTTTAATTCGCTTCAAAAATCGGTATTTGGCCAACTATCAGCCTTGGGGATGTTGAAAGGCGAATCCGCAGTTGAGGAAACGTTCGACCTAGGACGCGACTACCCATTCCCAAACGCAGGAGGTGGCTCAGTGCATAAAGATCTCTATGACATGTGGAAGTATGTTAAAGAAAATCTAGACGCCGAATTCATTGTTGTCGACAGCGACGATCTGTTGGCGAATCCAGCCGAATTACTACCGAAGATCTGCCGAGCGGCCGGGCTGCCATACGACGAATCGCTCTTGAAGTGGAATGGGTCTTCCGAAGTGACGGAGAGTTGGATGGTTCCTGCGGACGACATCGTAAGTAAGCTGGTGTACTTCTACGACAGAGCTATCAGGAGCAGCGAATTTCTGCCGGCAAGCAATATGCCATCACGTGACGACGTTCGACCTGACGTCATTAGATGTACCGATCAGGCTATGAAGTATTATGACGAAATGTATGAAGTCAGGATCAAGTTCTAAGTAATGTTTATCCATCATATAACTTGTTCTGAGTTGCTAGCTATAAGCGTGAATCTATATACTAATTAGCACATGGGATTTACTTTCTTTCTTTAGATCCAGTGAATTGATTAGCAATCTGAAATGGATGCCAATTGAGAAACGGTTTGAATTTCAGCGTGTTAATATGATGTATAAATGCACATATCATTTGGCACCATGCTATTTACAAGAACGTTTAATTAAAGTAAGTGACATTCATCAGCATAATACGAGGCAGGCAGTTGAAAGTTTACTTTCTGTGCCAAAGTATAAAACAGAAACGCTTTAAACATAGCCCCTCGTTTCTTCAATTATAGCATAGAATCAGTTGGACAGATCATTGGGAATGGCAAGCTCTGTGAACACCTTCAAACACATGTTCAAACAACCTTGCATTATCGATCCCCAATAAGATTTTGTTTAGTGTCTGTTTTCTTAGCACTTAAAGAATGATTTCATACCATGTATTATCAGTTATAAATACATTTTTTTTTGTAATGTTATTTAAGAGTGTACATTCAATTGCTATACTAGATTACATGCATTAATTTTTCATATTATCCAGTAATTTACTATCCTGTAATATTTTTTGTTTTTGTAAATATGTATATAACAATTGAACTCTCAAAGTATATGTTGCCTTTTTCAAGGAATACTTACCGAAATATGCTAATAGTTACTTTTCATCGGATTTAAAAACTAAATACTGTCTATGCTATAATATTAAATTAAAATATTATAATTTTGCAACAACGTTTTCTTGAATGAAAAAGCAAAGCAAAACAAACAAACAAACAATTCTTCTATTACGAGGATACCAAATACTTCGTATGTATGTTTGTACACGTTCTTACTTATTTTTTATTGCTGTTATGAATTTGTATTCAATATTTTGTTATTAATACGCTGTCGCTCATATAGGTGGAATATTTTTTTTTACCCCAATTTACGGAATTTAAAAAAAATATTTTAAGAATTATATAATAGATCTAGATAAAAGTATACATTCTCAGATTTTATTGAATAATAAGTTGCAAATGTGTGTTTTGCGCGACTGCTAAAGCATGTGTATGCTTCTATGCTTATCAAATAGGGGACCTACGCCCTTAAGTCATAAATGACAGTAATGAGGATTAATGCCCCCACAAAAGGGGACTAATATAGCACATCGACACGGTTTTGATCCTAGAGCCTCACAGTTACGAGGCCGTTGCTTTGTCGCGAACTTTTTTTCCTACGAACTTTTATACCTGGCGCATGCTCACATACGAACTGTTATCTAAACATTCTTTTTCACTACATAATATTCATTGGACCATTTGGAATAAAAATACGACAATTTTTTGGAAGAGCCAGCTTATTCCTTATGTTATCTCTTGTTATGATAATTTATTATGTATTTCATTGTTTTTTTAACTTATCATTTTTGTTGTTTTATTTCATTTCTTACTACAATTAAACTACTTTGACTCCCAAAACAACCACCTAAACTTTAAAAAAGACCCAATAACCAATGTTTAATCTATTTTTTGAAAAATGACATTTCCATATGTTTTGTACACAAATCACAAAAAATGAGCGAGTGACATGCAAAGACAAAAGGTTACGTGACCTTGTAACTGTACGTTCGATTTTCATTTTTTTTTTAAGATGCGCAAGACTCGAAAGAAAAAAGTCAGCGAGCGGCGGCGCGCCATCCATATGCCTTCCCGAGCAATCGGACAAATCGTGGAGGGGGGGGGGGCATAATACCCCCGGCCTTATTAGGGTTAAAAAGCAAATTATTTTTGAAGTGGACCTAGCCCATAAAGTATTGGCGGAGATATGACCATCCCAATAAAAAGAGGTCAATAGGAAAGCCCTTTTATGTTACTCTGGTTTATAACATTACGAACCAGAGCAAAAAAAAAGTGATTTCCCATTGAAATATATTTCTTTGGATGGTCATATCTCAGCCAATACTTAACATATTCAATCGGTTTTCGAAATTTGGACATTAATTTTGATGCTCTTTCGAAAAATTTGGAAACTCTAGGAATAGTTATTGATGACGTTTACACTTGACCACTCCATGTAGTGATCGCCAAGTTGCCTACTACGCGAACGACCCACGCATGAATATCTTAATTGTCCACCGTTGTTTCAGATAAATCTATGAACGTATATTAATGGCGCCATATATTTTTATACTAGAAAATGGGTAGTGGTTTGGGCTCATGATTAATATCTTCAGTCCATTCTATGGAGAGGGGGCTGGATCTTAAACAATCCTTAAGTTCTTCAGTTGGTTTAATGAAATCTGTATATCGTCATAAGGTAAAGAATTATTACCGTGTCATTCTCTTTCATACAAAGACCCCCCCCCTTTCATCTCTCTCTTTCTCTCTCTCTCTCCCTCCCTCTCTCTCCATCTCTCTCTATCTCTCTATATCTCAAACACACACAAGCACACACACGCACACGCGCGCGCACACATACACACTCTTTTTTTTGTCTATAGTTTTTTTTATTGATTCCAAACAATACAAATCAATCTAAGAAATAAAATACAGTTGTTTTTCCTTGACATGAATTCAAAACATTTTTCATTACATAAAACGAAAATAAAATCAGTTGTAACCCCATCCAACCAAACACACTACTACCCCCCCCCCCCCCTTCCCACCATGCAGACAGACAAATAGAAATAATCTATTTAAGAAATAAAAATAAATCATTTAAACGAGGCTACAATAGCCACAATGGCCCAGTGGTAAAAATTCATGAAAATTTCATTTGCTAAATATATTACTCATTGCGGATGTAGTATCGAAAATAATATCGCTAGTGATATTCGTTTGTATCGCAATGTGGTCAATAAGGAATCTAAAAGATCATGACGTTTCGTGCGCCGCTGCAACACTTCGTCAGGTGATAAAAAACATGCTTGCTTACATTAGTTTTGATATTGTGTTTTAAAATACAGCTTTCTAAATGAAACGCAGAGGTATGGTTGCATGCATACGTAGTGTTTGTTACTGTTTATATATATATATATATATATATATATATATATATATATATATATATATATAATATACAATACAATACAATAAACATTTAGTGCGCCATTCCCATAAGGCTCAGAGCGCTAACATCAAATAATATTATTGGTATTTACTACATGTAGTAATTAAAGGCTACAATTAGATATTCCATATAAAATATTAAATTCAATTAATTAAATTAAATAATTAAACATAGAGGAGAATTCATGTAAAGAGATGAGTTTTCAGAGCCTTCTTAAAAATATCGATAGAGGCAGATTGTCTGATGGACATGGGGAGATTATTCCACCCTTTGGATGCTGCTACCGTGAAAGTCCTATCCCCGGCTTGGACACGTGTAATTGGATAATTTAGACGGAGGTTATCATTTGTATATATATAGCCTGTCATATGTAAATAGGCGCACAGTGTCATCATGTATCCCTTTAACAGTATATTTTATTACATAACATATTATGACACTAGTAAAACAATGCACTGCATTTCATTCATTAAAACAAAAACAAGAAATCTAAATCGCAATTCAGAGGTTTTGATTATGATATTGTCATATTTTGTAAAAAAGTTGTCGACGTATTCGATAACTTTATCTAAATATTTTTATAGCATCGTATACATGAGTAAATTGTCATTCACAACTTTAAGTCAGTATAATTATATTCTATCAAAACTACAATTAACACGGGTGTCATTTAAATGAGTTTAATCATAGAGTCACGCAATCGTTTATTTATTTATTTATTCAAAACAGTTAATGAAAAAAATATTTATAACCACATTCGCAGTTTGTGGGCTGAATAAGAGATTCTTTTAAAATGGACATGTATATCAATAATACACAAAGTAGGACAAAGCTAATAAGATAGATCTATGATAAATTTATTTGGAATTAGATATCATAATATAGATTAAATAATCTGGGATCAATAATAGTTTTGTTTTAATTAAAAAAATATATATTTTGAGAATAAATCGAACGTTCTTACTATCCAAAATCATTGGAGGATAGGATTAGCAATTCATGAGAAGAAAAAAAACATTTTGAATTCGTAGTTTCTCTCAACATTTACGCTCCTGGCTCAATTTTAAGAAGTACAAAATAATTGTGGGCATATATTTATAATTTAAATCACTAATCGTTATATCCAACAATTGTTAATCACACCAAACATACAGTGGTTCGAAATTTAAGTAGATATTTAAGGAATAGAAGTAGAAAAACACAACATCTCTCCTTTCATCCATGATTATTGCATTGTTGAGTTGGGTTGGACTGAACATCATCAAGCTCCAGTAACCTCTGAATACAAAAAATAGAAATATACAGTAATTAGAGGCTAACATACAATTTGATTTTTTTGATAGAAACGCAATTTCAGTTTGTAATATTGAAGGCTGCTTGAGAATTTTATAATCTGTTCATGAACGCTATCTTCTCTAAATATCAATAAAAACTAATTTTTAGAATTTCATGGAACTGTACTTTTTAGGTTTGTATTTACGCTGTTAAGCATGTATTCTCTTTTCTTGTTTTTGTTTCACATGTGCGCCTTGAGGATTTGATTTCAAGTGGATTCGATTCTCATATATTAGTATAATCACTAATAGTATACTTTAAAATATGAGCGCATATTGCGTGATAATGTTCCAATTTAAGAAATAGAAATTAATTTAAAATATTTGTTGTGAAACCTTTCTACGAAAATGCATTTTAACACTTGAACATCACATCGGATTGACCAATAATGTACTCGGCATTGTCATAGACTCATGATTAATGAGCAATATAATGTTGTTCACCGATATGTGTCCAGGCTACTTTTTAGTCAATGATGACCACTGATTACTGATATGATCATTTCATACAAAATTACGCCAGAATATATAACCACACACGACTTACAAAGGTGCAAGGTGATTGGTTGAGTAATATTTGAAAAAAAAACTATAGTACCACCCATAGCTGGGAAGGAGAGAGAGAGAGAGAAGATTGTATCTGATCGGTCAGTGCTTTAATGCATGGAGTCAGGGGCGTCTCCAAAGGGGGGGGGGGGGGTGCGACACCCCCCTCACCTGTCAGGATATTGTGGGTAAAATTGCGCTGCCGCCGGAAAAAAGAGAAAAGGGGGAGGGGGAAAAGAGAGGGAAAGGGAAAGAAAAGAAAAAAGAAAAAGAAAAAGAAAAGAAAAAAAGGGAAAAAAATGGAAAAAAAAGGAAAAGAAAGGAAAGAAAAGAGAAGAAAGAAAGAGAAAAAAGAAAAAGAGGGAGGAGAGGAAAGAAAAGAAAAGAAAGAAGAGGAAACAAACGAAGAATAAAGGGTAAAAGGGAGACAAAAGAAACGGGGGCGAAAGAGAGGAGAGAGAGGGGAGGTAAGAGCCTGAAAGAGGAGGAGTGGGAGTAAAAGACAGAAGGGGGTTGTTGGGTGGAGTCGTCTCGTCGAGGGAGCAAGAAGGACACGGGTGAATATGTTGCTATGTCGGGTCAGCTGTGTCGGTATTCTTGCTCGATCCTCGTGTACTATATCAATGCAGAAGTTTGAAGTCGGTAAGATGTATATTGTCGGTCGGCCGACAAGTTATTTTCCCTACACGAACTGTGACTTTTTATCCGCTGTAACGACATCGAGAGTGGCTACAACTACAATACTTTTCTCGAAGTTTCACTTTCCTATAATATCAGCTAAAGAAATCAGAGGTTTAACATTTTCGGGGAAACTAAATTCGAACAAGGTTTAGGAGTCACCAACGGTACGACGAATCGTCTTCCTTTCTCTATATTGTGATGAAATGCCAAAAAAAAATCCGCGCTTTGCGCGGAAGGGGAAACTTCATTTAGACGATTTCATTCTCTAATAATTTTAGGAAACGTCAATGCTTTCGCGCTAAAGGGGGAAAACTGAATTCAGACAATTAGGGCTTATTAAGAGTCGAAAACGGTGCAACGAATCGTCTTCTTTCTCTAATAATTTAATAAAACGTCAGAACTTCCGCGCTTCCGCGCTTCGCGCGGGAGGAGAAACTGAATTCAGACAAGGATTAACAGTCGAGAACGGTACAGCAAATCGTCTTCTTTTTATAATAATTTAATGAAACTTCAAAGCTTTCGCGTTGAAGGGGGGGGGGGATTCATCTAGACTAGGATTAACAGTCGAGAACGGTACAATAAATCGTCTTCTTTTCCTAATAATTTAAGGAAACGTCTAAGCTTCCGCGCTTCGCGCGGGAGGCCTATCACCCACACTCCCTAATGAGCGCTCTTTAAGTGATTCGCTTGCCCACTACCGCCCTCCCTAAAATAAGATCCTATCTCCGCGCCCGCATTAAAGGTACTATGTCCCTTTTGCAGCCAACCTCAAATTCTGTAGAACTTTGCAGGAATTATGAATATGTCATGTATGTCTTATCTGTGAAACTTAAACGTTAGCAGTGTCCTCATATTCAAATTATGCAAGGAAACCCGTTTACTTGCTAGACTTCACTGTCAGACACTATTGAGTGACTGACTGGCGTTTTTTCTTCTTTGGTAATAACATACATGAAAAGAGTTGTAAAGGGTACATGAGCATTTGTCTACATCAATAACCCACTTTTTGTGATGGCCAAGATGAAACTGATTGAATCTTTGAACAGCATAAAACGTATGACCATTCGGTACAATTGTCTGAAAATCAAGACTATTACTTTTGGGCTCTATAGCCCTAAAGTCGATTTGACAACTAATAGTCGTTATTTTCCCACTTGAAGACATTTTCAAGCCCCACCTTTTTTAGGGAAGTTCTAAATTAGTATTATCTTTTAAATGCAGTTGGAATTTAACTTTTTCATTTTTTGGGACTGCAAATGGGACATAGTACCTTTAAAATATATCAGCTATGATGCTGACTAAGTTGACGAAAATAATTCGTATATTTATGTCGTCGAGGAAAATGACCATTTGCGCATATGCAAGTACTACAGATATTCCATAGGAAAACAAATTTAGCCTTCGGCCCCGGGTTTATAGGTTTAAATTTGTAGATATTGGACATTTAATTTTTATCGGTAATTGGTCGCTAGTTTTGTTCATTTGTTATAAAAATATTATAACCCATCAAGACGAATACTGTATTCGTGTTCATGAAAGTTATGCATATAATTATTAATTTATTCACCGAAAGCACACTCTCTGATACAGGTGTAAATATTCTTTTCAGGGGGCAAACAAAGGGCATTCATGAAGCACCTCCATCGTATCCGGACACCAACCCCTGGACGTCCATACGCATGCACGATCATAGGTTAAATTTAAGTTCCGAATAGACAGGTTCGTAGTTAGCTTTGTTACATATGACCCCCAAATATCCACAGATTTGTTACACATAGACACGTCCCACTGTGTGCATTTCGGAATGATCACTGCCAACGTCATGAAGGTGGTTCTAGAACAACTACCCCCTGGACATCCACACCCGGATAACCACCCCAGTCAACTACTCTCTAGGACAACTACCCCTAGGGTAACCACCCTCTAGGACGACTCTCCCCCAGGAAAACTACCCCCCCCCCCCCGCGGACAACGAGTTGTCCATGGGTAGTTGACCTAGGGGGTAGTTGACTGGGGGTGGTTATCCGGGTGTGGATGTCCAGGGGGTAGTTGTTCTAGAATCACCTTCATGACGTTGGCAGTGATCATTCCGAAATACACACAGTGGGACGCGTCTATGTGTAAAAAAAACGCTAAAAAGCTAACTACATGTACGAACCTGTCTATTCTGAACTTAAATTTAACCTATGACCGTGCATGCGTACCACAAATATCTGTCTTTATTCGCTATGTTTCCACCAAACCACTTACGTAGTTGGAAGTTTGCTCTAATGACTTGTTCTCCATTCTCATCATTGACTCTTGCCTCGCACGAGTATACTCTAGAGAAACGATCCTCTACGGCGTCAAAGTGTAAGACTAGTCCAGAACTTTGGATACGCACTCCTTCCACAAGGTTTCTCACTGCGAATATCAAGAGAGAAATTAAAAGGATTGTATGACTTTTAAAGTCGGATTGGAACATCAAATGTTTATATACAACACTAATCATTATGAGGGGGCAATGGGCATAGTATTATGGTTCAATTAATTTCCCGGTACTATAAAAGGTATTATATTTTTGATCGATGAAATCCTGTTCAGTGATGGTCAACAAAGCATCATGTGACCAAACATAACATTGCTATGATGTAACCGTGACGTCAGCCATGGTATAGTGCACTATACTATGGCACTATACCATGGATGACGTCATTATGCTATCAATCAAGATCAATGTGCTATCGGTCGCGGTCGCGGAACTGTGCTGCTCTCACTGCACTCTTCACTACTTCAGTGACAGGAAACATTATTATCATTATTATTTATATGAAGGTTGGTTTGAAAAATATAAAAACAAATATATCATGCACTATATTAAGCCACGAGTGAAATTATGGATTCCTCGGCGACATAAATAGCACTATTGTCTTCGGGGCCACGCCCCACAGAAAATAATGCTATTCCTGCCACTTCTATCCATATTTTCAACTAGAGCCTCTCAGTGCATGGTATATTTGTTTATCATGATTTTGCATCAAACTTTAAAGACAAAGTTGAGTACCTGTTATGCGATTACAATCTCGAAGTTATTTTGGACGGTTAAAATGTTGTAAAAAGAAAGAAAATATTGTGCGGCATTAATTTTTGGATCATCAAAAATTATGACAGATTGACTAAAATCACAAACATTTAAAATCAATGACCACAGACATGGGTGCTTGGGACCACATATCATTTAGCATTAGACTCTGACCAAAAATTATTGTCAATTATTTCTAGTCATATTCGATGCATGAATACACTTCAAATCCAATCTTTTTTTTTTCATTGGACACTGCTTTATTGAGATATAAAACATTGATAAATGCTCCAAAACACCTTTTACACTTGAACAAGAACTTTCCTTAAAGAAACAAAACCAGACTTAGCATTTCTTTAAAAACTAAAACGCAATAATTATGGGAGTATGTCAGAGGCAACGGCGTCAATTCCTCCTCAGTAAATGTTGGCATAATAGACGAATTTATCACTTTACATCTGGACTTAATACTATAACCAAAACAACTTCAGGCACTATCAGTCTGTCACTGACTCCAAACCGACCACTTTGGGGTGTCATAATTAGGGGTAATTCAAATTTTTATTCGTCTACACTTGGTGTAGCGGGTGTCGGTCTGGTGAGGTGTCTGCAATACCCTCCATATTTGACGAACGTGTCGCTGCATGCCTGCATGGACCGAATGTCGGATCACCTGTGTGTGTTGTTACTAAACCCATCTAGTACTGTTTGAAATCAAAACATGTATTCTGATAAGGTATGTAGAGAGTAACATGTTACCTGGTCTGTTATTTACGAACCACTGAACAGACGCATCATCTCTGTTAGGGAAACACTCTAGGTCGACTACGCTACCTGCTGCAACAGTCAAAGTGCTAGGAGATCTAACTGTAAAGGCAAGTGCCTCACTGGGTCGACTCTCGTTGAACTGTCTCGCCACGTTCGGAGAATATGCAACTGTTACATTCTTAGAACGTAACCAATGAAGATATCTTGAGACGCTTGTGTAGAACCCGTATTCTCCCTCCTCAGCACACCCGACGCCCCAGCTTACAATACCCAGTTGATACCACCGTCCATCATCATGACGAAAAGCAAATGGACCCCCAGCATCACCAGTGCAGGTGTCCTGCTGCGCACTGTGGTAACCAGCACAGAACATGTTGTCAGTAAACTCTCCTTCATCTTCGTCAACACTCTCCTCGCAAGTTTGCCGATCAACAATAGGTAACTCCACCTCCTTCATAAACCGACTGGTTGAACTTAAAAGAGACTCTTGTCCCCATCCGGTCACGCGTCCGTTGATATTGGTCTCCATGATACGACTGACCAGAACCCCAGGAGCCAGGCATATAGGACGAATGTAAGGAGTGAACTCCCACAGTGGTGGGTCGATCCGTATCAGGGCAATGTCATTATCATAGTTTGTCATGTCATAATCCTCATGCACAATCATTTCCGCTGGCTGTCGACTCTTTTCTGACTCTTCTGTAAAGTCTGAATTATAATCACCGAAAATTAAATTCATGTTTTCCTTTTTAATCAAGTTTCCATGCCTGTCAAACATGCAATGCGCAGCAGTCAAAATCCACCTCTGGTCCAGGAGTGTCGCACCGCAGATGAAGGTCCATGGATCCCATGCATTCTCAATCCTGTATTCCCAGATTCGGACCATGTAGGGCGCTGAACCATGATTTGCTGTATTTCCTCCGACCACACGGCCTGAGCCTCTGCCTGGTTCGCTCTCATCGAAGCTGCTCCAGTTGATTGAAGATTCAGCGACGATATCTGGATCTGGGGCCTCGGTGTGAGTAACTACCACTGGGGAGGGTGTAGTTTGAGCTTTGCTCTCTTGCCAGAACGTAATCGTGCCGCAAACTAGAAATAAAACAACAACAAGAAAGTACTTGTGGTCATTTTACTTAGAGAGGTGATCATAAAGCTCTCTACAGCATATCAATATATGACATTTAATAAATAAGTAGCGAGTTATTCCCTTTGAGTGAACAAATACATATAATATATATACCTAATATTAGCTTTCCTTAACTATGTGTATAAGTTAATAATAGTAGAGGCTGGTAGTAGTAGTAGAAGTAGTATAGTAGTAGTAAAAATAGTATAAAAAATAGTAGAAGAAGCAGTAGTAGTACGCAAGCAGTAGCAGTAGTATTAGTACTGGTAGTAGTATAGCAGATGTAGTAGTAGTTAGTAATAGTAGTGGAAGTAGTAGTAGAAGCAGTGGTAGATCCAGGAATTTCCAAAAGGGAGGCCGAAACCAACGTGTGCGCTAGCCAACGGTCGCTCTTGAGTTCTAGCAATTCAGCTTATTTCATGTTTTTCTTCTTCTTCTTCTTCTTATTTAGTAGCGAGTTATTCCCATTGAGTGAACAAATATTTATATCATATAAACATACTATTAGCTTTCCTTAACCATGTATAAAAGTTAATAAAAGTAGGGGATGTTAGTAGTAGGAGAAATAGTACAAGTAGTAGTAGTAGTAGAGGGAGGAGAAGTAGTAGTAGCAGCAGTAAGCAGTGATAATAATAATAGCTCGTTCTTAGCACTTTTCAGGATCGAAGGCCCTCTCAAAGCGCTTTACATATATATTTATTATTCCCCCGGTCATCGGATTCAGGCTTACCTGCACACAATGTATGCACATTCTCCACTCACTGGGGAGCATTCCAGCCAGGCGTCATTTTTACAAGCGCACACTTGCTAATCTAAGCACATTAGCTTTCGCATCCTACCGGGTACCCATTAAACATCTGGTTGGAGAGTGGCAAATGTAGATCAATGTCTTGCCAAAGGACATTAGTGCCGCGGTGGGACTTGAACCGCGTAACTTGTGATCCACAGTCCGGTGACATATCCACTCGTCCACGACACCTCTACAGCGGTGGTAGAAATATAGCAGTATTAAAAATAGTAACAGAAGTAGTAGCAGAAGGATCGGTAGTAGTAGCAGCAGTACGTAAAGCAGTAGCAGTGGTATTAGTTCTAGTATTAGTACATGTATAAGCAGTAGTAGCAATAGTAGTAGTAGTAGTAGTAGTTAATAGTAGTAGTAGTAGTAGTAGTAGTAGTAGTAGTAGTAGAAGTAGAAGTAGTAGTAGTAGTAGTAGTAGTAGTAGTAGTAGTAGTGGTAATAGTAGTAGAAGTAGTAGAAGCATTAAGCAGTAGCGGTAGTAGTAGTATATCAGTAGAGGAATTATTACCAGAAGTAGTAGTAGAAGGATCGGGGGTGCTAGTAGAAGGTTCGCGGGGAGTAGTAGTAGTAGTTGTAGTAGTAGTAGTAGTAGCGGTAGTAGTAGTAGCAGCAGTAGTAGTAGTTAGTGTAGTAGAAGTAGTAGTAGTAGTAGTAGTAGTGGTAATAGTAGTAGAAGTAGTAGAAGCATTAAGCAGTAGCGGTAGTAGTAGTATATCAGTAGAGGAATTATTACCAGAAGTAGTAGTAGAAGGATCGGGGGTGCTAGTAGAAGGTTCGCGGGGAGTAGTAGTAGTAGTTGTAGTAGTAGTAGTAGTAGTAGCGGTAGTAGTAGTAGCAGCAGTAGTAGTAGTTAGTGTAGTAGAAGTAGTAGTAGAAGCAGTGGTGGATCCAGGCATTTCCAAAAGGGAGGCCAAAGCCAGCGTGTGCGATGGACAAGTCGCTCTCGAGTTTTAGCAATTCAGCTTATTTCATTTTTTTTATTATTTGTGATTTGTTTCTTTCTCTTTTTCTATCTCTCATTCTATCTACTTTCTTTCCTTTCGCCTTTTTTCCCATCGCTCTATCTCTTTCCCTATTCTCTCTTGTCAGGTCCCCACAAAAAGGGGAGGCCCGCGGCTGATTCGCCCCCCCCCCCATCCTCCACTGAGCAGTACTGTTATAGTTGAATAGTAGTAGTAGTAGTAGTAGTAGTAGTGATGGTAGTAGTCGAAGTATATGTATTAGGTTTCTACTACGAAGGGGCGTCGATTCCGGGGGCAGGGGGACACATCCACACCGGAAAATTTGAAAAGTGCATAAAGAAAATGTAAAGCAAATACTGACTAAAGACTGCAACGGTCTTTTAGGCTCTGGAAGGTCCAAGAGTGCAGCATTTAGACTAATAAAAATGCAAAAATCTTCTCGCTCGGTAGCTACGCCCTTCTCGCATAATATCCTTCAAAATGTACAAGTAAATACTGTAGAAAATCTGTACTCCGTTGGTATCACCGTGATACCCACTCGCCTCCTCCGTAACGTAAAACGTAAAATGCTTAAACCGGTCAATAGTCTTTTGAAAAAAGCCCTAGGGCACTCTTCACAAAACTATTGATCGGTTTTGGCATTTTACGATGCTTTACGGGAATGGCTCTAATCACGACTCCAATTTCGATCAATCAGATGACTGGATTAACATACTTTTTCTAAAAAAGTGTTGGGGTTGGAGCCCGAGCCCCCGAGCCCCGCCGCTCCGTGGGCCCTGACATGTTGGCTTCTAAAGAAGCATATTTTAACACATTTGTAAATCACTGGTATTGAATTAGAAATAAACCCCGGTCATGAAAAAGAAATTGGTGCCCCTGCTAACACGACTATGGGGAATGTTGACATGCATCAAAGGCGTTGATCCTAAGCCCTACCTGTAGCAATGTCAATCTGAGGTGGATCAGTCAAATAAAGCCAGGCATGTACTCGACCCTTGGTTCGTCCGAACTGGTCACGGGCAACGCAGGTGTACTTCCCTTCATTTTCCTCCCTTATGTTTATCAGGTAGAGGTATCCTCGGCGCTGCCAGATTGAAGAATCATATAAATAGAACCACTTGAATCTATGAAATACATATTATGTATAGGCCTAACTAAATTCATGAGAGAAAAAGGAGCCCAAGAGCACAATCATAGCAATTTTATATTTTGTTGTATACAATATTTGTTTAATTGATGAACATAAAAACATTTTGTCGTAAACTTAATAAACATATTTAGAATTTTTCTTGACAACATATTGTGTTGGACTTGAACTTGCTTCCTCTCATTCTTTCAAAAGTGACGTGTGTTCATGGATAAAGGAAACTTTTCTCGTTAACGGGGGACAATGCATCAAATATCCTCCAAATACGTCCAACTCCCTGACTGGCATAATCATGGTGTTCGCGGGAGCTTTCAGTTTTGAGAATATGCCTTATATCCAAGAAACAAATAATAAGAAAAAAACAGAACAGTTCCTATAAATCGCATTATATTTTGGAAAGGGGTCTCAATAGCTAAGGAAAAGTAAGAAAGAGATGAAACAGTTAGAAAAACACTTTTCATCAATTAATCTGGCTCATGAACGATAGAATTAGAAGAAATTTTCTTTGAATATTAATACAAATATAAAATCAATGTTCTTACCTCGAACAAGCACATAATTAAATTTCTTATCTTAATCTTTCATATGAAAGTAATTCCACTTCGAAATATTATATGGGCCATCTACAAAACCTATTGAATTTTTGATATTCCAGTGTACAACTGCCCTTAATTTAAAAAATTAGTAACTCACGATAAGAAGGTTTCCTTGCTCCAGCGGTTGCCCATCCTTCTCCCAGATGACACTCCATGTGCTTACTTTGGGAGAGCACTGGAACTGATGATCGTCACTGATATTGACATACGCATTCACGGGAACGATTCCGAAGTAGCTTCGGGGATTGAAAGCTGTCAGCAATGTAAATGAAAGCAAGGAATGAAATGAAATGAATAAACAATGGCGTATCGAGACATTGGCGTCGGGTTTCGGAGGAGGGGGGGGGGGGGGGTCGGAAAGGGTCCAAAACCAATGATGATCCATGTATTCCAGCAAGAAAATTATTTTTCCCGACCTTGTTCCGTGTGAAAGGGTGGAGTTTCTATTGCGACAGACGTTATCATTGTGTATGTATTATATAGAAGTAACTGTGATCATTCTTTTTTCTTCTTCCTAATTTGAAGTTGGTCTCGGGTGGCCCCTTCAAATGCACGTGTGTGAAGGAGGTAGAGATGAGAAACTTCATACGATTCACTTCTTTTTGTATGAACAATAATCTTAATTCCTAGTATAGACAAACCAATTCTAAGACAATCTTTTCTATCAGCAACGATATTTGAGAAGAAGGAACTTACTTATATTGGCCTCAGATCTTATGCATTCCCTTTCTCCGGAGAATACAACGCATGCGTATTGTCCTTCGTGTCGTGCATTGAAGCTTGGAATGAAAAGCTGGTTGGGCTGGTCGACGAATATACCGTTTACAGTACCTTAGGGCAAATTTGATAGAAACCAACCACGTTATGTTTTTTTTATGGTCTCTTGTTACTTTGAATATGTATTGCTATGTAACATCTTTACCAGATTGGCAGGAAAGCAAGATAAACACATAATACCTACAACGTAGTCACGCCGCCAAACCGACATCATGCCGACTCTTGATATCCCAAATGACACTAAATTGTCTTTAAAGGTAAAGACCAGTTTTGGAAACGCCCCCCTCTCAAAAAAAATGAAATGAAAGCTTATTACCAATCATGTGAAAGAATATGTTTTTACTAATACATGATCATACAAAATTTGCTAAGAAACCGCCTACTAATTGATACATTTGGTAAATTATTATATCTATTTGGACCTGATAGATATAACGCATGTGCGCGCACGTGTGGGGGTAGTCCCATATACATCTTTCTGTGTACAGTGCTTGTAACTTTATGAAGACTGGGCCAAATTTCTTATCATTTTGATGATTCCAGAACCTTGCAATACACACCAATACTTATATGCTAGATCACCTAGATGATCAACCTTTTCTGATCGATTCTACAACGTTTCTTTCACAATGCAATCGCATGACCATAACTGGTCCTTATCTTTAAAATATTTTTTATTCGTGAAAATACATAGCGGTTTGTATTATCTTGTTTCTACAAAGTTTTCGTTAATTTCATAATGCATAAAGAAATCGTCTGTACAGAGTCAGAAGGGCATTTGCTCTGTGTAACAGTGTATGAAATAACGCCCTTCTGGCTCCAAACAGACGAAATGATTTTCAATTAGTTTCAAACCCGGCACCCCTAGAAATGTTGAAAAAAAAGCTGCACTAGACCACGACACCTTTACATATATCTCATGGGTGTGTGAGGAAAGTGTGTATGTGTGTATAGGAATTACCTGTCGGTGTACAAATATCTGGGAATATTATAGTTACAATTGTTCCTCCCCCTTTTTGAAATGTTCTCGGGCTTTCACTGGTCTGCTTCTCTCTCTCTCTCTCTCTCTCTCTCTCTCTTGTAGGGGTGTTTTTCTTCTTCATTCTCAAATATTCGAACTTACAAAACAGTATTTGCAATAATATTTTCGTTCGATTTATTTCTCTCCAGTTTATTTCGTCGGCTTCCCACAATAAGGCTATAACTGTCACGGAAAATACATGGCTCTTACTCTTAGAGACTTTTTGTGGACTTCTTGTAGACAGCCGACGATTTACTTTGTAATCACTTTTTTGAAAGCAAATGAAGTCTCCGGATTACCGTCTTGTACCATATTACTAAACTTTTTTTTTTTAATCGGTTTTGGATGATGTCCCTACCTGAATCCAACCTTTGCCCATCTTTGAACCATGTCAAGGTCGCATCTTGGTCGCTGACCTGGCACATCAGCTCTATAAGATCTCCTTCAGCTACTTCTAAATTTCTAGGTTCTGTACGGAAAACCAGGTCGGGATTACAAGGTGAAGGGGCCCAATGAAGAAACCCAATGTCTGCAGAGGATAGATTATCAGAAGTAGGTGAGTTGTTAAGCAATATTAGGATTATCACAATCATGCAAATATGATTCATTTTTTTCAGCCATTAACGTTTTTTCCTTCAGCCAAATCTGTATAAATCCAAGGCATTGCACTTGTATTTAATGTCGATGTATCATTCAAGATATGACATTAAAAAGATGTCTCATAACCGCGAAGCGATGACAGAGAAACCAGACAGTTCATTAATGCAATTATCTTTGTTTTGTTTCGGTTTGCCAGAAGTTCACATAGTCACTGACACTGCATGCAAACCGTCGTCACGTAAATCTTTGAAATTGAGGTCGCTATCTATGATTAGGGATTGAAAAACTAACCCCGTTCACAGCGTATGGGACTCCCAATCCATTCACCATGCACGTCACACACTCTCCTGTCATCTCCTCCAGTCTTCGTGTATCCTGCCATGCAGGAATATGTGCACATCTTGCCGGTGTTGTACGGAGGAGAGCACGGTCCAAGGAGAACCTGCGGTGGTGTTTCAAGTCGACGACACTGAACAGCTGTGGAGAAAACGATGAAATCAAAATTAAACTGTGCTTGAATTTGTCACTTGACAAATTAGGTGATACGCATTCTAATTTACATAATGAAGAATGCATTATGTACGTATTATAGAGTACCGAAGCTGTGACATAAAAATCTATTTTTATAATTTCTCATTTTTGTCTTTATTTTCCAAAAGAGCATCAAAAATATTGTACGAATGTCGAAAACCAATTGAATATGCTAAGTATTGGCTGAGATATGACCATCTGAATAAATAGATGTCCTATAGAAACTCAGTGTTGTATTGCTCTGGCTTGTAATGGGGACTTTTAGATTTGCGTGGACTGATACGTGTGGCGTCCATTCAAGGCAGTGCATTAAAAGGACGTCGATCGTAGCAATCCACGTTGTGGTTGTGCAAATCTAAAAGTTGGAACTTTACGGCAGTCGGCCGGACACCGGCCGAAAATTCCCAAAATGTCTGTTTTTACTCGCCGTACGGGCCACGAAGTGTATATGTGAAAGCCATATAAGGGTGCCGGCCAGTAAGCTTACGGACTCCGTCCGATGAGCAAGTGCATATACTGGCTCCCGGAGGACGGCCGGGGTCGTCAAGGCGGCCGGCTGGGTGCCGTGCGGGTCTGAACTTTGTGTCCTCTGACATCCGTGCCTCCTTGAGATTTGACAGAAAAATCGTGGGACCCTGTCCGAGCACCGTCCGGAGCCCGCACGGTGCCCACAGGCTCTTTACTGGCCTTCTACGGCCTTACGATCAGATAAAAACGCCGGGAGAATTAAGAGCAGCCAACTCAGTACCACGGCGCCCGTACGGCTGGTGAAAAATGTCCCGGCTGAAAACTCCCCAAAAGTCTGTTTTTACTCGCCTTTCGGGCCACTGAGTGTATATGCCCCATTAACATTGTGCTCGATTTTGGTGAACACAATCTTGACGGTATAGCATCTACATTGAATTTATACGAACATGACAATGACGTATTACGTAATCCAAACATGAATAGTTGAATACTGAATAATTTCTTTAAAAATGTTTTATTCGTGATTTACATACACCACAGAGAATATATCGAAAGTAATTGGGATCGTCTTGGTTGTGTATGACAGGCGCGGATCCAGGATTTCTTAGGGGGGGGGGGGGGGCCCCACTTTTTTTTTTGGTCCGAAAAAAAATCGTAACGACTTAGCCAGCCGCTAAATAAGCGGGGGGGGGGGGGGGAGAGGAGAAAAAAAATCACAGAAAAGGGGGGGGGGGGGGTTGCTCCAAAATACACACATAAAAAAACCGAAGGGGGGAGGGTCAACCCCCTAACCCCCTCCCCCCCCCCCCTTTCCGTACATGCCTACTCGTCTGAAAATAGTTTTTCCCCTCCCGCGCGAAGCGCGGAAGCTTTTACGTTTCATTAAATCATCTGAAAAGAAGACGATTCGTTGTACAGTTTTTAACTCTTAATCCTCGTCTTAATTCATCCCCCTCTCCCGCGCAAAGCTCGGAAGCTTTTACGTTTCATTAAATCATTAGAGAAAGAAGACGATTCGTTGTACCGTTCTCGACTCTTAATCCTCATCTGAATTCAGTTTTCCCCTCCTCCCTCCCGCGCGAAGCGCGGAAGCTTCTACGTTTCATTAAATCATTAGAGAAAGAAGACGATTCGTTGTACCGTTCTCGAAAATAATCCTCGTCTGAATACAGCTTTTACGTTTCATTTAATTATTAGAGAAAGAAGACGATTCGTTGTACCGTTCTTGACTCTTAATCCTTGTCTAAATCAATTTCCCCCCCCCCTTCCGCGCGAAGCGCGGCAGCTTCGACGTTTCATTAAATTATTATAGAAAGAAGACGATTTGTTGTACCGTTCCTGAAAATTATCCTCGTCTGAATTAAGTTCCCCCTGCTCTCCCCCGCGCGTAACGCGGAAGCTTTGACGTTTCATTAATTCATTAGAGAAATAAGACGATTCGTTGTACCGTTCTCGACTCTTAATCCTTGTCTGAATTTCAAATATGTTCTTTGTCTATTCCCTTTTCTTCCTACGTCCTCTTCCTTTACACTCCTCTCTTTTTTGGCCGGCGTTTATTGGGGGACCACCCCACCGCCCCCCTGGCTACGCGCCTACTGTCAGATGAACATAATTATGTTGATACCTTGTCCGCCCCGGAAGCTCAGGGGTTTAAGGTTTTAATTTACGGTCAGATTAGCATTTAGGGCTCCGCCTTAGCGCCCTTGACGGGGTCCAGGGGGCATAGCCCCGGAAGTTCAGGAGTTTAGGCATTTAATTACGGTCAGATGAACATTATTTTGATACCTAATTGTTACAATGGCAGGTCACTAATTGGCTTGGGGTTCAGGGGCCTGAGCCCTGGAATCTCAAGGGTTTTAGGCACTCAATTACGGTCAGATGAGTATCGAGGGGCCTGCCTAAGGGCTCTTGGTTGGGTCCAGGGGGCAGATCCCCCAGAAGCTCAGGGGTTTTAGGCGTTTAATTACGGTCAGATGAGCATTTTTGATACCTTATTATTTGTGACACTAACAGGACACTATGTGGCGTGGGGTCCAGGGGGCAGAGCCCCCAGAAATCAGGGGTTTTAGGCATTAAATGACCGTCATATGAGCATCTAAGGGCCCGCTTTAGGGCCCTAGGTGGAATCCAGGGGACAGAGCACTTAGGATTTTAGGCATTAATTTTAATCGTGGTCAGATGAGCATATTTTGATACCCCATTATAATGTGACACTGGCAGTTAACTATTTTTTCTTTCTCGCTCTCTTTCTTTCTATTTCTCTTTAATATACTTTTTAAAGAAAGTGTGGGGGAGGGGCTCGAGGATCCCGATCCCCGCCGTTCCGCGGGCACTGATATGTAGGCATCTCAAGAAGCATTTTCTTGCCTGGCTGTAAATTTAGGAATTTGTCATTTTCCAACAAACGCATGAAGTGAGGAAAATTATCTCATTTCAGCATTATTTGTTAACCCCCGTTATGGAATTATAAATAAACCACGTTTGAATTCTATTTCTCCAACCCCCCCCCCTCCCCTATCAGTATGCCAGTGTCCACCCCCCTCCGATCTACACCTTGTTGGCGGGAAAATTGCAACTGATATCCCCCTTCTTTTCTTTTCTTCTTCCTATTTTGTCATTCCCTTATATCTCCTCTTTATCTTTCTTCTTTCCCTTTCCTTCCTTCTCTTTTATTTTTTTATTGGGGGGGGGGGGGAGGGGGAGGTAAGCCTCCCCCGATCTCCTTCTTCCCTCTTTTCTTTTCTTCTTCCTCTTCTTTTTTTCCCTTTCTCTCCTCTTTCCCTTCTTTCCCTTCTCTCTCTCTCCTTTTTTTTTTTTTTTTTTTTTGCGGGGGGGGGGGGGGAGGGTGGGGGGGCCAAGGCACGCTCGCCCCCCCCCCCGCTGGATCCGCGCCTGATGTATGATATGAAAATATGACAAAAATGATCTACAAAATGAGATGGTAGAAAGCAGTACAAACTTCAAAGCATTATTTCAATAATTGTGTAAAACACAAGTGCTCTAATATGCCGATATGGATCAAACATGGATAACTTACCCATGCAAATTCTGCTGACGTCAAGGTCCCATGTCCCGGATGCTTGGCAGATGATGGCATCCGAAGAAGGGGAAAAACCTGGATGACACTGGACATCACAAAATTGTCCTGGCCGCGGGTCGCATGATTCGTCAATAAAACCATTGTGAAAGACCCGTGGACATTCAGTAACTTGATCTGTGGGAATTAACGGAGGGATGACAGAATACGCAATGAATGTCTACCGACTTTAGCCATTTAAACATTCTCTTTTTTTCTCGCCTGATGTCTGTGTGCAAATCAGTTGGCAGGTCGGGTCGCATGTTTGTGATTCACAGGACATTCTGCAACCGTTAGTAGGCTACTATATCAGGAAGCCTGTGAATACACGGTATATCGAGCATATATTCAATTTTCCGCATGTAAAAAAGCGCACTGTAAAGAAACAGACAAATGACAAGATGAGCCAAGGAGAAAAAGACAACAATAACAGATATTAGCTTCACACATTCTCCAGAATCTGCTCACTTCTCAGTTTGCTTATATCCACAAGGGATTGTGATCAAGGCGCCTGAACTTTACCATGACTTTAGCTAGTCTAGCGATATAACGGTGCTCTCAAAATTCAAGAAACCCTTTCCTACTAACTTACCATTTGCTCGACATGGAAAAAAGAGCATTAAGGATCAAAGTAGCCAATTTCAAGAGCATTAAAAAACGAATGAAGAGTGTATTAATAATAATAATAGCTAATTATCATGAAGCGCTTTTCAGGACCGAAGGTCCTCTCAAAGCCCCCTTTGCAGATATATTTATATTTTACGCGGATTCACTCCCGTATATTTGGCAAAATCCAACTTGAAGCAGGATCTTTGCATTCTTGGCAAGGGCATTTTTTGGAGGGCCGGGATATGAGAGCCTTGGGGTTTCTGGCATACATGTACTACATGTGCCTCTCTCAAATCAATTATAATGAAGGAAATAGGGGGATTCGGCCCCTCAAACCTCCTCTTGAACCGCTACTAATTACCTGAGACACACGTTGTTTCATCATAATCAAATTGGAATCCATCTGCGCATGTGCAGTTTCGATCAAAGCCGACTGGAAGGCAAAGTCCTGTGCAGCCTCCGTTGTCAATTGAGCACTGGTTGTCACCTGGAAGAGAGAAGATTGAAAAAAAACATTGCGCTTAGTACAATCTATCCTCTACACAATAGACTGTAACTACAGCATTTTGTGAACTTCCATTCTCAATCTCACTTATGATCGGCATGGTGGCAGTGGAAAGGTCTGAAACGCTCCGTCACTGTTTTCGGATGACTTGTGCAATTTAGCGTCATCTTTGAGAAATAAATTATGATTTTGAGTTGTCACTCTAACTAGAAAAAATAACAGCAAGCCCGTATAAGACTTACTTTTAAGTCCGAATGTTCTATGTTTAAGTCCAAGAATATTTGAACCGGCACAAAACTTGTGTATTTAAAACAAGACCATAATTAGACTTACAATTTAAGTGCAAGAAAGAGTACGGAAATTTCTTTTCATTTTGTTAAACGTAAACCGTAGTAGATTGCTATTAAGCATGTGCTGTTTAAAAATCTCTCCCAAAATTGTTTAAGTTCTATGTTTAAGTCCAAGAAGGTTTTGAACCGGCACAAAGCTTGTGTGTTTAAAACGAGACATTATTAGACTTAAAATTGTAAAATCCCTAAAAGTATTTAAAATTCAAGTATAATGGATTTCATTTTAAGTCCAATACGATTTACTTCGCGCATGCATGATAACATCTACAAATAATCTGATTGGTGCAACAACAAACAAACAAATTCAAAGATTTATTTGCAGAAGTCAATTTCGTTAACATTTTTAATCGTATATTTAGTTAAATACATTTCAAGGATCAAAATATGTTTTAAGTCTTATTAAGAAGGGTTTAAAACTTAAGTGCTAGAAACGAAGAGAGTACTGAACTTTTTTTCTTCATTTTTTTTAAACGTAAACCTTAATAGAGTGCTATTTAGCATGTTTTGTTTAAAAAACCTCTCCCCAAATGGTAAAATAACCATTCACCCGATTTTTGTATTCAATTTAGATCTTGCTGTTACTCTATCTGAGTACATTATAAGGAGCTCCATCATGTTCATCACTCCCCATCTTGTCTTGTCTATTTTAGGTGAAGCAGGATTTAGAAAGATCTACTTTAAGTAAATAATGGAAGGACAAAAAATGAGAGTAGTTATACCTGATGGCAGAGTATCGTCGGACACCATGTATATTCCATTTGGTCTGAGGTAATCACTGGGTCCTACTGTCGCGATACCGCTACCAGTATCTTTGTCCATCTTGAGGACACTCTGCTCTGTCCAGTCTGTCCAGTAAAGAAACTGACCACGTACAGCCACGTCATAGGCATGGACGTTACGTCCAAACGTAAAGAGAAGACGGCGGTCACGACCGTTAAAATCAGCCGTCTCCAGTCGCTCAAGACCAGCGTCGCACCAGTATAGCCGATTACCTGACAAAGAGGCCGTTCATTCAAGAGAAAATCATGTTGGGACATATAGTAGACCGACAGCCTACGAGACCGACATGTTCGTGGTAGTGAATCTTTATGAAAGCTGTCAGAAGGTCCACAATAACACTACTATGTCAGTCTCGTGGGCTATCGTCTCGTGGAATGTAGCTACAAAGTGATGTTACAGGAACGAGGGGAAGTTCGTAACTCATCTTTTCTCTCATCAATCATGTCAATACATAATTCTTTCGTCACCAACTTTAACAAATGTTTTATGGATGTCTCAAAAAGTTAAAGGGCATTGCCTATACGAAGTTTTTTTTTCTTCTTCCAGATTTCAGATTTCTTGAAAAAGAGCATTTCGGAGGTTGTGTGTTTATTGTTATTATGTTCTAGATACGATTGTTCGTAATTAAGTTTCAGAAGAGTTTCAAATGCGAAGATAATATGAAAGACAATAGTGCTGTACCATTGCATTACAATTTTAATAATGACGAGTTACATCAATTAATATAATTTACGCCATTGAATAAGTTTATTAATAGTGGATGCGGGATTATGGTTTTAGAATATATACTATTATTTAAAAACTAAGTTTGTTTTTTAATGGACCTGAAATGTAAATTATAATTTTTTAATCTATGGATTCCAAACAAAGTTTGCGAGTAGTAACGAATACCAATTTACTCTATTAACTGAAATGTTAAAGCATCATTTAAAAGGACCGAGGAGTGACCACTTTCTCAAAATGTCAAACTAACAATTTTAATTTGCTAGATTCCATCTTTATCGTGTAGGATCCAGTAATCTACCATTTGGAAAAGAAAAAAAAGGGAACAACCCTCGGACATTTAAAATGGCTATTTAACATATTGGTTTTTAGAGTGTTCTTTAAAAAATGATAAGTTGGCGTTCGTCATCGTTAATTTGAAGATGTCCTTACCATCATAGTCGATCGTGAGTCCGTTTGGCCATACCAGTGATCCAGACACAATTATTGATCGCTCTGTTCCGTCCATGAAAGCTCGTTCAATGACAGCATTGTCACCACAGTCTGTCCAAAACATTGTCCTGGTTTTTAGATGAGACAATGTTTTAGAGACTATCGACATTTGACATGGCACATACATATGGATAACACTTCCAAGTTCAAAGATGAAATTAAAAGACATACTCTTCTACCGTCTATTATGTCGTCGAACTTTAATGGGATGAAGGCGGCATACGCCCCACCCCTTAAATGCTCATGAAAAGAAAATCAAGTGGGTTTACTCAAACAGAGGTTTCTAGACAAACTGCCCCTCCCCCAGTCCCACCATGTTTCCCAGTCATAAGAGAACTCCACCTCTCGTTTATCTACATCTCAATACACCACTTCAAAAGGGTGGATTGTTTTCAATGATGAAGGCTTTTTAAAATATAAATTATGTAAGTAATACCAAATATCTTAAGCTCATACTCAGCATCAGAGTATTATGTAATATTATTATTATTATCTCCCAGTCTCTTAACACCCAGGATAGTGTATTACCCTTCCACAGGATGCAACACAAGTGCTCTAGGCTTGTCTAAGCCTCGAATCAGTATCTTCCTGTTTGATCCGTCCAGGTGAGATACAGAGATGCCATGGGTGCCAAAGTCTGTCCAGTACACAAGCCTGGAAATGGAGTCTACCGCAATGCCATCGGGGCCTGAGAGAAATAGAGAGCATTTTATATATTTAGCTAAATGATGTTAGCATCAAGGGTGTCGATTTGTATCCGTGGTTGGGGGGGGGGGGCTGATAGGTGCCAAAATATTTTCGGCAATGGATCAAAGCAACCAAGAGGTAGAAGCGTGTGGCAGGTTGCACCCCCTCCCCCGCGAAGCGCGGAAGCTTTGGCGTTACATTATATTATTAGAGAAAGAAGACGATTCGCTGGACTATTCTCGACTCTTAGCCCTTGTCTGAATTCAGTTTTCCCCACCCTCCTGCGCGAAGCTCGGAAGCTTTGAAGTTTCATTAGATTATTAAAGAAAGAAGACGATTCGATGTACCATTCTCGACTCTTAATCCTTGTTTGAATCAAGTTCCCCTTCCTCCGCGCGTAGCGCGGAAGCTCTGATGTTTCATTAGATTATTAAAGAAAGAAGACGATTCGATGTACCATTCTCGACTCTTAATCCTTGTCTCAATTCAGTCCCCCCCCCCCCCCTCCCGCGCGAAGCGCGGACGCTTTGGCGTTTCATTAAATTATTAGAGAAAGAAGACGATTCGTTGTACTTTTCTCGACTCAAAATCCTTGTCTGAATTCAGTTTTCCCGCTCCCGCGCAAAGCGCGTAAGCTGTCTCCTTGTCTCCGATCTCATCACGAATTCGTCACAGAGTTCATCTATGTTTATACTGTCCAGGATTGTCTGATGTGCATTGCAGATTGCTATTTTTGCGCTTCGCGCTTAACATTTAGCTCGATGCTTTTTAACGCTGTGTCTTTGCATTTGGCGCACTGCTTTTTTATGATACTGTTGATTGAACAAATTGAATAAATTCATCAATTTCTGATGAAGCCGTATGAGCGAGAATTCAATTTATTCTTAACTCATATACGGTTGTCTTATTTACTTCGTATATATGTATGTAATATGAAAATGAGATAGCAAAATATGTGTGTTGATGGTCATCTTGCGAGTAATAACCATTAACTACTCTCATTGGGCTCTTATCATTAATTTTTCTCTTGATTTTTTTTTTATGGTGAATTATTGGAGGGATGATTGTACAGGCCATCCCCCCACCTGAAATATTTGGAGGATATATCCCCCCCATCCCCTCCGGGATCGACACCGATGGTTATCATTTTTAAAAATATTTTTATACCGCAGTTATATGAACGAGACCGACACCAGCCAGTAAAAATAATTACGTTACCCCGAATGGTCAAGAATCGTTCGGTTTGGAGTCAGTGTGGAATCGGTTTGGCACTGTGACTAAAGTATTAATACGACACTAAAAGATTTGTTCCTTATTGGTCATATTCGAATGCATGAACTGAATGACATTGTACTTGGCCACGTACCATGTCACGAATATAGAGTCATATAGCGAAGCCGAATAGTTTCGAAACTAAACCCTACACGTCATTCGTAATACAAATAAATGTCTAATTAAAAATGTATTACATTATACGTGGAAACTGTTTATTATGGGATGTATGCATATGCTGGAAATTGGGTTATAGGCCTATATGTTTTCTTCAGCTTGCACAGATAACCCTGACAGAATCAAACCCGTACTCCTTAATTACCCCTGCCGTTAACACTTTTATGTGCTCTTTATTACTATTTCGTCATTTTACATGAATATCATCCCGTCAAACTGGTTTCACACCATAGATCTGTTGACTTGATATACATGTAACTATGCTATATTCGACACATAGAAGTCTCCTAGTCGAGTAGTGTAAGCACTTGACTTGAAATTCATAGGTCGTGGTTCGATCCCCGACACGGCAATAATGTCCTTTGGCAAGGCATAAATCTACATTTGCCACACTCGACCCAGGTGAGGTAAATGAAATGGGTACCTGGCAGGAATTAATTCCTTGAAATGCTAGAGCGCTGTAATGGCAGCTAGGCTAAAGCGCCTCGGAATATAATTTCTAGATGGACTGAGCTATATAAATGCCTTTTAATATTATTATTATATATAAGTTAAATTAAATTAATCTTTTTAGTTCAACATAAGTCATTAAAATCAAATTGAAGAACGGTAAAGTCAAGGGTGTCGATTTGTATTCGTGGTTGGGGGGATGATAGGTGCCAAATTTTTTTCGCAATGGATCAAAGCAACAAAGAGGTAGAAGCGTGTGGCAAGTTGCACCCCACCCTTGTTTGAATCAAGTTCCGGCCCTTCCTCCGCGCGTAGCGCGGAAGCTCTGATGTTTCATTAGATTATTAAAGAAAGAAGACGATTCGATGTACCATTCTCAACTCTTAAACCTTGTTTCAATCAAGTTCCCCTTCCTCCGCGCGTAGCGCGGAAGCTCTGACGTTTCATTAAATTATTAAAGAAAGTAAACGATTCGATGTACCATTCTTGACTCTTAATCCTTAACGTTCGAATCAAGTTCCCCTTCCCCCCGCGCGTAGCGCGGAAGCTCTGACGTTTCATTAGATTATTAAAGAAAGAAGACGATTCTATGTAACATTCTCGACTCTTAATCCTTGTCTGAATTCATCTTCGCCCATTCCTGCGCGAAGCGCGGAAGCTTTCACATTTTATTACATTATTAGAGAAAGAAGACGATTTGTTGTTTCGTGTCCTTCATGAATTGAGTTTCCCCCCTACCGCGCGAAGCGCGGAAGCTTGAACGTTTCAATAAATTATTACTCTTAATCCTTGTCTGTATTCATTTTCGCCCATTCCGCGCGTAGCGCGGAAGCTTTCACGTTTCATTAAATTATTAGTTAAAGAAGACGATTCGTTGTATCGTGTACTTTGACGTTTCATTTGGTTATTACTCTTAATCAAAGTCTGAATTCAGTTGCCCCCCTAACAGCTTTGCCCTTTTCACTAAATTATTAGAGAAAGAAGACGATTCGTTGTACTGTTCTCTATATTAATCCTTGTCTGAATTCAGTTTCCCCACTGAAAATAAGTTGTGACATAATAATCTTTCTCCAAAAATAAAAAATGTTTTAGGAAATATCAGGAAATAAAATTAGTGAAAAAAATAAAAATAAAGATACAATGACGTGAATTTTAAAAAGGGTGAACGGAAACAACGTAACAACTAGTGAACTATTTTATAAGTCATACTAATGTCCGAAAATCTTTCTCCTTATCTCCGATCTCATCACGAAATCGTCACAGGGTTCATCTATGTTTACACTGTCCAGGATTGTCTGATGTGCATTGCTCGTTGCTTTTTGACGCTGCGTCTTTGCATTTGGCGCACTGCATTTCTATGATGCTGTTGATTGAACAAATTGAATTAATTTATCAATTCCTGATGAAGCCGTATGAGCGAGAATTCAATTTATTCTTGTCTCATATACAGTTGTCTTATTTACTTCGTATATATGTATGTATTATGAAAATGAGATAGCAAAATGTGTATATTGATGGTCATCTTGCGAGTAATAACCATTAACTACTTTCATCGGGCTCTCATCATTAATTTGTCTCTTCATTTTTTTAAATTTTTTATGGTGAATTATTGGGGGGGGGGGATGATTGTACAGGCCATCCCCCCCACCTGAAATATTGGGGGGGATATATCCCCCAATCCCCCCCCCCCCGGGATCGACACCCATGGGTAAAGTATGTCCATACAAACTAATCATGACAAAAGACATCAAAATATTACGGCAAAAACATAAACCTGGAATGAATAACGGTACATACTATCTATGAAATTACATGTAAATTTGAAGGGGTTAATACAGATGCAAGGCCTATCTAGGGCTAACCAACTGGGAGATTGTGATATAGGAGAAAAACAAACTTACCTTCAATGCCATCCCTAGCAATGACCTGGTAGTCGTTGCCGTCCAACGAGGCACGGCTGAGTGTCTTGGAAGTTACGTCAGTCCAGTAGACCTTCCTGTCTATGGGATCAAAGCTCACCGCTACAGGGTTCTGAATGCTTGGAAGGAACAGGGATTTGGGTTCGAAGGTGGTGGACTGCATATCGACCTGAAAGATGGCCCGTCGGTAGGTGTCCGTGACCAGAAAGAAGTTGTCTCGGACAAGGTCTACAAAAAACGACATATAAAAATCATTATGACAGTAGAAATATGGGAAGTAAATATATACAGAATGTTTAAAGGGGAATTAACCTCAAACTACATGTTAATTTCAGTTTGTAAGCCATTTAAAACACTATCTGAAAAATATAGTACATCATACATTTGACGAAAGGGAGGACGTAACTCTTCTTCAGAATCCTTAGTCTTTCGCGGCTATCAGAATTTTCAGAACGTTTCCATCGTGTCTTTGCGCACGGCCCTTTCTGTGACGTATCGCATGGATTCGACCGATATTGCGTACGTAAGTTTCCCTGCTGTAAACTGTAAAATGATCACTGCAGATCACATCGTTTTTCCTGTCTACCTGTACTTTTTGTCCAGAAATTTCTCCACCGTCAGAGCTGTACCTATATAGCTTGAATATTTCATTCCGATTGTGATGGTTTGGAAACCAATGAAACGATTTCTCCTTGGTTTTCGAGGAACAATTATCACTACCAAACACTTGGAAGTACACCATGTTTGACGTGTTTCGCTTATAACGCGCGCACTGCGCGCTACATCAGTTCTCCTTGCGATACGTCACAACCCGGAAGATTTTAAGGGAAATTTTGACAAAATGGTAGCTTCCGTGGGGAGCAGACGATGTCTTACATATGGCGAAATAGGGTCACTTTATTGTACTTGCAAGACGATATTATTTGGCCTACAGCAATGTTTTTTATAACAAATGAGAAACGTTGTTTTACTCTCTGTGTCACGATAATGTTTCATATTCGAGAGGTTAATTCCCCTTTAACAGTAAGCTCTAGAACATCACAGGTGTGTACTTTTAATATCACATAGCTGGTGAAATCAGATACATATGTTGGGGACGGGCGTACCCTATCTGTGCCTACTCTTAAAATAGAAAACATTTTGGAAAGAATTATATAACTATGTATACAACTCTTATTCTATCGACTTGAAAACACATCCTTTCTATTTGGTGCAAGGTGAACAATTCAATGGGAAATCAAAATGAAATAGGGATAGGCAAAGTTTTATTGGGTAAATGATGTTTTGATTTTATGAGCACCCTAAAAGCAATTCTTCATAATGCAAAGAAATCTGCAAAGAAAGGTTGGGCAATATTTACTTGACACACAAGAGTTTCCATTGTCAGCCAAGTAGAACCCGAGAGTGCAAACACATACGAATCCTTGTCGACTAGAAGATGAGCTGAGACACAGCTGATCACATCCTCCGTTCTGGTAACGACATGGATCTTAGAAGAAAAATTTAAGAGGAATAAATGAGACGCAATATTCTACATGAAAAGTCATGTATCTATACCATTTTCTGAAATCGAACGTAGGCCTAGAATGTATTATATGCTTTGTAGTATATACAAATCTTATATTTGGTCGGTAAGGTATCCCGCCCCCCCCCCACTCTGTGTTATTTAGGATACGCATATGCTCATTCCCTATTTTTGAAAGCACCCCCTATCTGAGGAGTGCCAACATTTCCGAACCCCCTTTCACGGGCTTTTTGCGGGCTTTTCCTGCCTTGGAGACCCCCCTAAATCATGAAAAATGCTCAATGAACCCCCCTAAATTCGGAATAATTTCTCAGGAGTCCAAAGAAATGAGAGGAAAAAAGAAAGAACACCCTCTTTTTAAAGAAATCTCCGGGTGAAAAGTTAATATACCATTTTTTTTTTTACAAATCTCGGGCCAGACTTTGTCGCACGAAAAGTGCCCCTTTACCGGACATTTTGGTAACACGCATGGGGTCATTCCGACACCGGAGGGGGGGGGGGCCGGGTAAGGTATGAGACTTGTTTAGCTGCCTTACGATGCATGATCTTCTGACGGGTGTCCGCGTAAGTTGTAATGCCATACACCTGCTCCCCTTGGTTATGATACACTAGTTCTATTTCTCCAGTGTGGCGGTTGCTTGCGTAGATACCATTGTTCCCTCCATCCTCCGTCCATAGAATGTAGTCCTTCATACAAAAATAGATAATACCTTCATGAATTGGCTGATTCATAAGGGACTCTGCCCCCTCTCTATATACCCTGTCGCTCATATATATAGTTGGAATATTTGTTTAAATTTATGGAATTATTTTGAGATTCTCAGATTTTATTGAATAATAATTTGCCAGTGTTTGTTTTGCGTGACTGCTAAAGCATGTGTATGCTACTATGCTTATCAACTAGGAAACCTACGCCCTTAAGTCATAAATGACAGTAATGGGGATTAATGCCCCACAAAAGGGCACTAATATAGACATCGGCACGTTTTTTTTTAATCCTGGGGCCTCACAGTTGCGAGGCCATTGCTTTGCCACTGAACCATGACCGTACGCAGCAGGGGCTAGGGTAGGGGGCAGTTCCCCCGGTCCCCAGCATCAAAAATATTCTGTGTGCCCATGCCTTGAGCCATAATGCATGGTCATACAGAGGATTTGTTTATGTTGGGGACCGGGGTAAAATTCAATGAATTATTGAAAAATTATTGCATTTTTTTCTTCATTTGTGGGAACTGCGGTATACATTACTGCTATACGTTTGGTGTGACAGGGCCATTAGATGGGAAAATCCAGATAAAGTCTACCACAGCATGCGCTGAAAACCTTTTACAAGCCTAAAGCATTTTTACCCATGACCTTATGCAAGTACTTTGTTTCGTATCAGACAACGACAACGACGAATGTATGTCAAAGTATGGTCGTATCACAAACCGTCTTTGGACGAACTATATCGAACTAGGTCTACATTATTTTGAGTGTGATAACGACTTTTTAACTTATATCAAAATTCGAGAAAACGTAAATCTGTGGCAAATGCATTTTCTACCTTGTAGAGAGCAACATCAAAGAAGATGGCGCCATTTTTCCTCAGTAGCTGTCTTTTATTGTTGCCGAAATAATCGACTTTATTGATAGTACGGGTTGAAAGATCTGCGTAGTACAACCTATAGAAAAAAAAGAAAAAAAAGTTATCAATTACTTCATTCAGACTTGGGATAATGAATTTTAGAAAATGAAAGCAAAGTAAAAGGTAAACTTATTATTAGAGAAAAGAAATTACTTTTGTTTGTAATTAGTAAGCGAATCTTTCAAACAAGTTTTATAGAAATTGATAATTTGATTGAAATTAAGGATTTCTTTGTCACTCAGTGAATATGTATAAAAGAATTATCTTTCCATCATCATGATAGATAGATAGATATCTGTTGTGGAATGAACGCCTGTAAAAACAACACATATTTTATTTTGGTTTTTCTAATTCTTTAAGTAAAACGCTCGATATGTTCATGAAAGGTTTCCTGATTTTACCTTTGTTCTTCGGTGTCGATAGCTAACCCAGTAGGGATAAAGAATGGCAGACCATGTGGCACCGTCATTATGACGACACGTTCAGTTCCATCCAATGAAGCACGCTCGATCTGATTAGGTGGGCCAAATTCAGTCCAGAACATGTACCTGTTGCAACGACATAAACAAAAGGGCTTACTCACAAAGGTCGAGCATACCTCCCTGGTTTAACCTGGCCTACCTAGTCCAGTGATTAAAGGAGCTTCAGATGTCACTCCTTTTCTTGTTGTTGAATTACTGTAATTCGGTAACAATCTGAATACATGAAATGAATCCGGTCATTCGCCATGAAATCATTCCGTTTATTTTCGTCACATATTTATGGTAAATTTTGACGTTTGACACTGCCGAAATGAATGGACTAACTCCCTAACTCCATTCACTTTAGTCGGGGTTTCACCTGGAATAAAATTAAAGTGATCCGTGTGAATACCTGCCTAAAGTACCTAGGTTAAATTGATGCTGTATAAAGTATCAAGTGTAATTATCAGATCTACACACAGAGAAATAAAAGGTGTTCTTGGGGAGTAAAAAGAAATTGGAAAAATAGGGCGCCCCCTATTACACCTTTTAGGGAGTAAAACACGGAAATACGCAAGGGTGTACAGAATAGTAATTTGAGGGATGTAATTTTACACCCTATTATAGTCAGATGAAGGAAAATAAGCATAATTTACATATTTTAGTCATGTTGGGGGAACTATCATGTTTCATTTGGGCTTATTATTTTTGTGAAAGTTATCTGATCAAGAATAAGGGGTTGTACCGAAGGTTATATTTGATAATTTAATGAAATTAGCAGAAGTGTTGTTTTACCAACTAGTACATAATTGCCTTCTTATACGTGTAAGTAAAGGGAAAATATTTGGGGAGGCAGGATTGTGTAATTAGGTATTTCTACTACATTTGATCCGATACGTCCATCCAGGCCAGCCTCACCAAGGCTAACTTTAAGTTGGTTCTTACAGTCTTCACTTGTGATGAGTTCACACTAACTGTTGTTTAGGTAAGCATTAAAGCTTTTCGACATAATATAACTCGAGATTCTGGTCTGATTATATACGAAGCATGGATGATTGATTGCTCGAGGGATGATCAATTGGTTGATGCTGTGCATAAAAAGGGTGTAGATTTACTCCCCACAGAATGTGGAATCGATCTTATTGGGTATAAAATTCAACCCCACAGATGTAAATTTGAACCCATTTTTTCATGAAAACGGAACCAAAAGGTGTTAATTAAGCACCATTGGGTGCAAATTTCACTCCTTAAAGGGAGTAAAATCATAACCTTGGGGGTAAATTTACATCTTCTTGTGGGTGTAAATTTACTCCCTAAATTGGGGAGTAAATTTACTCCCTGATGGGTGCCACTTATGCGACAAGCATTTACTCCCTATAATAATAATAATATAATAATATTATGAAAAATTGATATACCGCTTGTGAAAAAAGTTTCAAAGCGCTGTACATGTACACAAATCAAAATTACTTCAAACAAGAAATCAATACTACTAATGGAATTAACATTACTCAAATTACCAAGAAAACGAAATATTACTAACATAACTTAACAAATTAACATTACTTAAATTACCAAGAAGATCAAACATTACTTACATTTCTAACGAAATTAACAAAACATGTAAATTCCTTGGAAATTAACACATTATATCATTATATCAGTATTAGCAATAATTTGAAAAGACATAATGAAGGCATGGTAATATTTATTCGAACTTATTTTATAGTTATTTGGGTTGCTTTTGGAATAGATGAGTTTTTAGATTCTTTTTGAAAATGTCAATGGTGAGTGAGTCCTGAATATGGGCGGGGAGAGTGTTCCAAAGAGTGGGGGCACAGACTGAGAAGGCCCTGTCACCATAGCGGTTGTGGGTGCGAGGACCAAGTGCGAGCTGGGGTCTGGATGATGATTTAAGGTTCATGCCGGTATTTGGGTGAGATCAGTTCAATCACTCTAAATTCACGTATCTAATTTACTGACAACTTCTTTGAGCGCCGTGAATTAGAAAAGGAACCTACTTTCTTTCTGGATCGATGGCGATGCTCCTAGGCTTGATGACATTGTCCTTGATGAGTGTTGTTCGGTAAGATCCGTCGTACTTGGACACCTCAATGGTACCCCTGGCATGGTCCGTCCAATACAAATGTTTCGTCATCCAGTCTAAGGCTAAACCTGAAGAAAGAAATGTAATGAAAGCAAACGTGCCAATCTAAGGACTGCCCTTGATCATGTTGATTAAAAAAAATTAATGGTACCCATTTCTTGATACTAAATAGTCACGTACACGTTTTATAGATATCCATATGCATACACTATTAATCATACACTGATTTAGGGGAAAACGTTACGAATACTGCTTGCAATCGATTAAAAGATCATATCCATATCTACTTTCCCCCACCAAAATAGCCATCGACGAAGTGTCTCGACAAGGTTTAAGATTCCAAATTATAATCGTATGAGCCTAAAATGACATGAGATATAAAACAAACATTAGTTTCTACTGTTCGATGATATGTGATGGTGACAGTAGTAATGGTGATGATGATGGTGGTGATTGGTGATGATGATGGTGATGATAGTGATGATGATGGTGATGATGAGAAGGAGGATGATGATGATGATGATGATGGTGGGGATAATGATGAGGATGATTACACCGATAAAGATGATCATGATGATGATGATGGTGACCAGATGATGACGATGGAGATGAAAGGGCTTATGATAACAATGATAAAACGCATGTATTTAAGAGATACGTTATAGTCCTACCTTGTACATCCCGTACTCCACCCATAATAATTTGCACCGGTGCTCCATCTCTGAGAGTGGTCATCCCTATTTCCTTCGTCTCAAAGTCACTGAAGAACGAGAGTCCGTCTTCCACATCGACGGCGATAGCTACGGCATGGATCCGCTCTTCTAAGAAGCAGGATGCGTTAAAGTTTGTGACCATGGAGAAAGCAATGTCATGAAAGTTGATGGGATATCGACAAAGCTTGGAGCGCGAGGCAACGAAGTACTGCGGTGGGTCTATAGTACCCTCTGGAATAAAGAAGAAATATGGAAAACGCTTAGGTCTAATAAGCGTGATCTGGGGCCAAGATATACAAATGATATATCACTGAACATACACGTGTTCAAAGAGGGAATGCTATCACAAATCATCAAGGAACAGGCTAGACAACGAGTACAAGTAAGACTAACTCGTGGGGCCCGGAGCCCTCTAGCTGATCCGTTCACTGACAATTCAAGGGATTAGCCCAATCAGCACATTATTCACAGGATTTCTAGCATCTGAGGCCACCAGGCCCCAACCGTGCAGCCTATGATACTAAAGGATGATAACTAATTAATTTCAAACGTTTATACAAATAAAATATCAATTATGTATTTAGTAAAATAAACTTACACACACTTACAAGAAATACTGGGTTACAGATGGAATAGATAAGTCTTAAGACGATTTAATATATCTAATTACATGTATCACACATCATCTTACTGAGAAGAAACACACAAATCAATCCACAACAGAGAGCTTGCGCTTGAAGCCTTACCCTTCTCGCATGTACGACCATCTTCCTTTAAGAGGAAACCGTTTCCACAGAGACAGGTATAACCGTTGGGTCCTCCCCCGACACAAAGGAAGCTACAAGGGTTACTGCTACACGGTGCTATAAGCATAACGAAATCGTAATTTTAGAGACAACAAAATTATAATTTGTATTCTCGTAAGTTTAGAATCAAAGAATATTACGATGATGATATCTGTAACTAAATTCAATCATCACATTCCTGTCCTCTTTCGACATGATCAGTGAGTAATTATAATTTGTCCTTTACAAATATGCATCACCAATGCACCAATGTTCTCTTCCCGCATTTTATAGTTAAATGATGAAATAATTCTTGATTCTATGGTCCTTATTGTAAATAGTTGCAATCCGGATTGATCATATGTCATCCAGTCTATCGTAGAAAATTAAAATGTACACATTTATCTCTCTCTTACGGTCAGACCGACGATTGACATTGATCTTTACTTCAGGTTTCGATTGACTTAGACGACACGTGACATGTCTTGATAAGATGGCGCCAGGATCTAATGTTCTTTCTATAGAATATTGTAAAAAGACTTACAATATTCCTGAGGTTGTACATCCGGTGCGTAGGTCACGATGCTGTATGGAGTATATTGGAGGTCGTGATTGAATAGTTGTTGACCACTGTCTTTCACTAGTACTATCAGTTTCTGGGACTCTTTTGCCGTTGTGTAGATGTAGTTCTTTGAAGAGGAGAAACAAATGCCTCGATATCAACACTGACCAAGACAGGCTGATCTACAAGGGCAAATCCAATCTATTGTTCTATTCCTAATATTTTAGTGTATCTGAGTAGTGATAAAGCCCTGCTAGACCTTATATCAGGCAGAATATTCCCCAAAGTTGGCCACGTCAGTATTATCTTCCTGTCCTTTAATTATCATTAACCCATCAATTGCCTGGCACCAATTTGTACCTGGATGGATAATGGCAAATGTGGATAAGCGTTTGCCAAAAGACGTTAGTGTCGGGCAGGGAATCGAACCCTCACCCATTTGAATGAGAGTCAAGTGAATGAGCCACTACACCACAACACATCGAAGTGCATTGACACATCGGATGTTACGTTATGTCCAAAACATGAAAGACATAAAATTACTCAAAACCTTGTACTCGTCGTTCAATGCCTATCTTTCTTTGCTATTTAGTTGATATTGTTTTGTTTGGACAAGATTAAATGTCGATCTTAAATTCAACCCTCAATATAAAATGACGCAAATAATTCCTTTTGTGTTACAGAAAGGAATAATACTAAGAACATACTTTTTATTTTTTTAGCAATTTTGTTCTATTTCTCCAAATGTCTCGTACAAACAATAACATACAATAAAATAAAATAAACATTTTCAATATTGATTGCTTATATATAAACATAATTAAACAAAAACTTATTTGCAGTATATATATATAACTTAGCAACAAAGTAAACGTGTAAGTACCTGAACATTATTCACTTATATAAAAATATATAAAAAACTTTAACAAATCTGGAGGTAATTTTACTGGAACAATGCCTGCTCTTCCCTGCCCCCCTCACTGACCCCTCCCTCACACGCACACACACGCACACACAGCCACACACACAAAAAAGTTTTTTTTTTTTTTTTAAGAATAAAGTTTGCAGATAATGATAGTTCATTGCAATGTTGCCAAACGGGTGGAGTAGGTTCAAGAAGAGACTAGTTTTATGATTTTCAAATATTTCTGCTCAACAAAGTGGACTTGATGTAATGCTTACATGTCTAACGTGGTTGTGACGGAACTTATGAGGTTACATCTAAATTAGTATTCGTATGACTGTATATGTATTTGATAGAGATCCTTTTGTAATTTGGGTATCCAAACGAAAGATGTAATAATTTGTTTGACATCTCGTCGATGATTAATGCTAATTTACACTCGCACTTACCCCGGAGATGGTCAAGTCGAAAAGGCCTAGATTGATAGGAGAGAACATCAGTGTTCTGCGATTTGCCCCTTCAAGATTGCAGACTTCCATGTGGTTGTAGGATGGATCGGAATCCACCCAATACACTCTAAGATCATCAAAAAGTCCAATGATTTAAATTACACTCAGTGAAGCCATACGCAGTCTCAGTGGAACATATCCTCGAATGAAAAAATGCTATTTTGTCACTTAAGCTACTAATCAGCATATCTAATATTTTGGTAAATCTAGTGCGTCCCAGAAAAAAAAACGAAACAGAGAACTATCGATGGACGCACTGTATTTCAAGTACCCATACGCTAGAGGCTATAACTTTATGAAAATAAGTTCAAACATTCATAAATATTACGATTTGAGGGTAGAATCCCCTGGCCTCACTCGAAATTGGCAATTAAAAGTCTAAAAAGTGCAGTATATTGGGATAGTGAAGTTTGATTGAAAAGTTAATTGTCTTTTTCTTTTCACGGTGGCTACAGTTGCCAGTTTGTATTTTATCATCATTTACTGCCTTTTAGTTAATCTTGAACAGTATTTTGTAACACAACATGTTAAATCTACTTTTCAAAATGAAACAACTCAATCAATTAGGGGAGACTTGAGCAATTTCGGGAAGGACTTGAGCTACCAATGAGCCCAAGCACTCCATCAGTGTAGATTTACACCTGTCTGACTAGTTATTCGTGTACTTCTGTTTTCCATACTTACAAGTCAGTTTCATAATCAACTGTTATTCCAGAGGGACGAAGGATGTTTGTGGAAACCAGCTGAAGACGACCTCCTCCTGCAAGATTACTCCTCTCTACCTTTGGCCTGGATCCTGAGTCAGTCAAGAATAGGTATCTGATGGGGAAAACATTAAACTTGAAAACTAAGAATTTACGTAGGATTTTTTTCTCAAAGATGACATCTTTGTAGAAGGTTCCTGTTTCCCGACAACCATAATGGAATGATCAGTAGCTTTAAGCGAAGGTTGAGTTCTGGGAAGAGGTAAAAAATAATTTGTGAGCGTTATCATGGTATTATGCAAGCGTGGAAAACATCAGATAAAAAATGTTCCCTGAAAAGCACGGCTCTTCAAATGCCTTAATTTTCTAAATATGGCATATAATACCCCTCATACAAATCGGGACAGATTTTAATGCCACATGTTCGTGTAGTCCCATATACATTTTTCTGTGTATAGTGCTTGTAACTAATACCAAGACTGGGCCAAATTTCTTATCATTTTGTTGTTTCCAGAACCTTGCAGTACACACCTATACTGATATGCTAGATGGTCAACCTTTACTGATCGATTCCCCAACGTGTCTTTCATAATGCAATCGCATGACCAGAACTCAACTTTATCTTTCAGCTTAGATCATCGTCATCGGTTTGCTAAACAAACATACAAACATACATATTAATATTTATATAGCGCCTTTACAAAAACAAATACAGGAGCTCCGCCATGTCTTGAACCTGCGGGTTTGGACTTAGAAAGAGCATTAACATATGAACAACTAAGCAACGTACTTGGACCAGATATTATGCTTAACCACTACTATTATTGGTTGCTTTATGTCATCCTCGGACGACATCTGTATTGACTATTGAAACCATTCGAATGTATTTAAGTGATTAAAATTGCGACAAGCGCGTAGCCAGGATTTCATTTTAGGGGGGCGGTAGTGAGCACGCGAAGCGTGCAAATAATTTAAAGAGCGCGCGTAGCGCGCTCCCTAGGGGGGGGTGGGTGCAGGGAGGGGGGAGTTTCCCCCCTCCCGCGCGAAGCGCGGAAGCTGCGAAAGAAGACGATTCGTTGTACCTTTCTCGACTCATAATCCTTGTCTGAATTCAGTCCGCCCCTCCTGCGCATAGCGCGGAAGCTTAGACGTATTTTGACAAATCTTTGACAAAGAAGACGATTCGTTGTACCTTTCTTGATCTTAATCCTTATCTGTATTCGAAGCGCGGAAGCTTTGACGTTTTATTAATTTATTAGAGAAAGAAGACGATTCGATTAATCCTTATCTGTATTCAGTCCCCAGCCCTCTTTCGAAGCGCGGAAGCTTTGACGTTTCATCAAATTATAAGAGAAAGAAGACTATTCGTTTTCCCGTTCCCGACTCTTAATCCTTAATTTGAACTCAGTTTCTCCCTTTCCGCGCGAAGCGCGGAAGCTTTGACGTTTCATTAAATTATTAGAGAAAGAAGACGATTCGTTGTACTGTTCTCGACTCCTCTTCCCTTTTTCTTCCTACGTCCTCTTAATTTTTTTCTTCTCTTTCTCTCTCTTTTTTTTTTTGGCCGGCGTTTTGGGGGGTGGGGCGACCGCCCCCACCGCCCCCCCCCCTGGCTACGCGCCTGAATTGCGATATCTTATAAAGAGCGACCTTGTAGACGAAGTCCTTTAAAATACCCCCCCCCCCTACCACTTACTACCACCACCACCAATCCTCTTTGAGAAAAAAAATAACAACTATCTGTGCCACTCTTCCACAGGTTCATGAACTTCAGCCATTTCCAAACATTTGCTCTCAACTGAATTCCCAGATCTGCTTTCGGAAAGAAACTGGAGACAAATTAATATACCCCCTGGATGGATGAATGGCTAGGCCTGTAGGAATATCCAGGTCCTCATCAATAATCAGCACGTTACGCGTCCCGCTTGCGTCATGCATTATTATCCAATCATACGCTGCATCTGTCCAATACACGTTGCCCGTCAGCCAATCAACTGCGACTCCCAGAACGCTGGGTGATGTAGATGCGTAGGTTTTCACCGATCGGTCGCTTCCCATTGACCCTGAAGAAAAATAAAAATTTAAGTTAATGTATGAACTTGGCAACTGGTTAAAATAACATATATGAAACGATCCAAAATCTGCAATGGTTTTAATCATTTGCAGGTTGTAGAGGTGACATAAGGATATTAACATGATTGAGACACATCCTTGTAGATCCATGCACTTACGCAGGCGCAAAGACACAAAGGCCAACTGAGCGCATACATTCAAATTTAACCAGTAATTTCGATTGCGTTATACTGCTTCAATACACCCGCTATTCAACACGTTGTTTTAGCTGACCATTTATATACTTTCAGTTTTTTTCTTCGCTCATATGGCGTGTCAAAGACTGCGTCACCCACAGTCAAGCCGCAATGGACATCTCGTATGCAACCGAATTAAAAGAAACGATAATTTTTTGATGACGTACCCTTGATCATGACATTCCGAAGACCATCACTCCAAATCAGTTCGCGCTCACCATATCGGGTTTCTAGAGCGGTCCAGTTACCACTTGGGGCCATGAAGTAGAAATCGGTCACGATGGTGTCCTGAACTGTGCCATCTGGTTTCAACATCACAACGGGGTCTGCCGGTACACTGTTTAATCGAACCGAACCTGTGGATGGTTCAATCTCGCTCCAAATGACTCGAGAACCTAGAGCTACATCGACTTGAAGTAAGATGGGGTAACCGAAGGACAAATGAAAAATATCATATATTTATTTTTCCCCATATTTTTCCCTCCACAGGGATTTTTATTGATTTTCATTTGAAACAAATTAACAAATATATATTCAAGGTAATTTACATTTATAACATAAAAAATATTTATAACATAAATATATTTATATTGTCAAGGAAAGAAAACGGGATAGCCAATTTAGCAAGAATGCTCGAAAAATAATGGTATTTTTTTTTAAAGAAATCCGTAGAATACTTACCCAAGAGAGTGCACCTAGACCTACTTTCCCTCATTTTGTAAATATTCAAGAAGGTGTTCCTGGATAATTACCAAAGGGTCTTACTGTCCTTAGTCTTACGGAACACTTCTACATAGCCAATGATAATTTTCGAATTTTCTGATTTTAGGGTAGTCTACATCCCTGAAAATGTTGGCTCTGAAATGTATGGATTTTCGGGTATTTCATTAAATATTCATTTCGTTTTACTCATCATCTAGTGACAATTTGGTAATGTTACAACGGATTTACTCGAAATAATTGAGCCATCTTAAAGATTAGCTGTATCTGAGCTTCCAATTTACAAATGAGCTTCAGCGTATGAAATCATTAATATCCTAGGGAGAGCAGTGTGTTTAAAAGGAGAAAACATATAAGCTGATTGTGAAGAAAATAGATTACCGATGTGGTCATAAACCACATGGAAAGGGAACCATGGGAAACCTTTTTTTTTCTTCAATCATATCTCTTACCATGAATAACATTATGTATTACCGTAAAATAGACCAAGATAACAAGGATGCGGCTAAGTGTGTGCCAAAAAACAAAATCTGCGAAATACATCACACCAAAAGCTTACTCGATTCATAGGATATGACAAAGCCTTGGTTGTTTTCCGCTCCTCCCACGGACATAAACCTGATTGTCACGAACCGTCCACTAGAGTCAATAGATGTGGGCGGAACTGTCGAACAGTATTGGCCCAGTAGTGGTACTCCAACAGTCCCGTCTCCATCATACATCCAAAGTGAATCTCCGCTAAAAATTACACATAGGAATAAACGCTTACAGCATTAACGCTATTTCAAAGCTTTTTACAGAGTTGGGCTAAGGCCAAACGTTTTGAAATAGTATACCGCACATTTTTGCAATGATGCATACTTAAAACAATATGATATAAAGTCCCTGTGCGCTTCAAAGGAGCTTTGGAAATTATTATTCTAGCTTTTGCTCAGGCAGCCGTTATCGCACACAGTGCATTTCAAGGAATAATCCTACCAGGTACCCATTTCTCTCACCTGGGTGAGGTGTGGCAAAGTAGATTAACATCTTAACAAAGGACGTAAGTGGTGCGGCTGGGGTTCGAACCCCGCACCTCTTTTGCTCTTTTAAAAGTTTCCACTAAAGAAAATGCCCGGGTCGAGATTTAAAAAAAACAGTATTGTTTGGAAACCTAAAAACCTAGGAAGGGATTTGAAACCTCATACCCTTAGATAGTCTTTTGCATTCAAACCCTGTGCTGGTAAGCATATAGCCTACATACATGTTATGGCAAAAATAGATACCCAGCCATACCCATGAAACCGACATCAGACCGAACATAAAATATATTACCGCAATTGGCCGAGAATTGGTCATTTTAGGGAGTTGGGCTGGTGTGACTGGTATGAATTCAACATTCAAGATTTAAGATTCAAGATTCAAGATAATTTATTGTCATGTAAAAAATACATACAATTTGCCTTCGGACATTTAAGGTGCTATGCATGTACATACAAATATAAATACATACAAAATAATTACATTTCAACATAACATTTAACAATCATCACAATTTTAAGAAAGTTTGCATTAAAAGAATAAGATAAAACTGAGGAAAAGGCAGTGCATTTTAAAAAGCTTGTTTTGTTTTGTTATTGATCTCGTCCATCCAGGCCAGGGCTCTGGAAACGATTTTGTCACCGGGGGTGCTGCAGGTCCCTGGGAACGATTTTTCCACCGGGGCTGCTGAGATATATATATACTGCGAAATTTTTGCAACGACTCAGCCAGCCGTTGAATAAGCGGGGGGGGGGGGGGGGGGGGGGGGGGTGAGAGGACTTTTTTTGGGTCCCAAAATTTCGCTACGACTCAGCTAGCCGCTGGATAAGCGGGGAGGGGGGGGGGGGTAAGAGGACATATTTTGTTGTTGTGTGTACCGTAATTTGAAAATTTGGTCGTTCGGTATTGGGGGGGGGGGGGTAAGGTCTGTCATTTTCACTTTGGGTCACCAATTACCACAATTTTTTAATTTTTTTTTATCATATAAAAAAATTAAAAACAAAAAAATGTCTTCGAGGGATACATTTTATAGGATTTTGTGAAAGAAACGTTATAATTGTCTTCTTTTTAATCTTCATTTGTAGCTGTCGGCTGTGTGACAATTTTGTAAACGAAGCACATAATAATATACGTTAAACATATCATACCAATTTTTTTTTGCTGGGGGTGCTGTGCCCCCCCCCCCCCCTGGAAAAATTCCGGGGGTGCTGCAGCACCCCCAGCACCCCCGCTTCCCAGGGCCATGATCCAGGCACCTCCACGCCGGAACACCTTTCCAGCTATCACACATCAACACACATACAAAGACACACACGACAGGCCCCTATACACATCTCTTACACACACGCAAAATATAATCGTACACGCCCTACACACACACACGGACACTGCAATCAACATGAGAAGTGCTCCGGCATAGAATGCCTGGATGGAGATGATTGAGACAATAAATTATCGGAGTATAAAATAGCTATTACGCAACGGCGACTTTGAAAGAAGAGAGAAGAGAAAGGAAGAAAGAGAGGAGAAGAAGAGACATTCATGCAAATTACTAAGTACTAAGCTGATGTGTGAAGGGCAGTGTAACGCATTTGCAGATGACAGATGAGTTATTTGTTATTGTTTTGTTTAATTTTTATTTAAAAAACATTATATGTTCAGTATATGATAACAAAACCAAATCATTTTATTGCAGAATTCAAATGTTTGTGTTCATTATTGAAAAGGCAAGATATTTGGCTCTGAGTAGTTCCTACGAAAGAGAAATCTGCAAATGCGTTACACTGCCGTCATTAAAATTAAATACATACGCAAATTACACGTGTATAAATTAAAACATACATAAAGATGGTCATACCTGCAGTCGCGGACCTGGAACTTGAGTCTTATCCTGTTCTCGGCGCCAGAGTCAATTATCCAAACACAGTCCGATGCTGGATACCCGTCAGGGTAGTTCGAAGAGCGTATCACACCAGCTCCGGCTTCTATGGAACCCCCACATCTCTGGCTGCTGCCGAGGGTTAACAATGTGCTGGATAATCAAAAGAAGTATATACGATTAGGGTAAAAAGAGAGATGGTTTTGGCCCTGTGCACACGAGGCGTTATTTCACTTACGCCACTCCAGGACAATCAGGCATACATATGTATATGCACAGATCATGCAGGTCCAGGCGCAATCTCAAGCCACAGACGCAACCCCTTGAAGCAGGGCGCGCCGCCCCCCCCCCCCACTCAGTGTTATTTAGGGTACGCATATGCTCGTACCCTCTTTTTGAAAGCACCCCCTATCTGAGGACTGCCAACATTTCCGAACCCCCCTTTCGCGGGCTTTTCGCGGGCTTTTCCTGCCTTGGAGACCCCCCTAAATCAGGAAAAATGCTCAATGTACCCCCCCCCCTAAATTCGGAATAATTTCTCAGGAGTCCAAAAAGATGAGAGAAAAAAAGAAAAACACCCCCTTTTTAAAGAAATCTCCGGGTGAAAAGTCAAATACACCCCTTTTTTTACAATTCTCGGGCCGGACTTTGTCGCACGAAAAGTACCCCTTTACCGGACATTTTGGCAACACGCATGCGGTCATTCCGACCTCTGAGTGGGGGGGGGGGCCGGGAGGGCGCGATAGAGATTTGCAAAGTTTCGGATTTGTCAAAAAACAGACTTCCTGTGGAAAACTGGCTAGAACTCACCCGATAGAGAGTGGAGAATGTGCATACAGTGTACATGAACACGTCTGACTCCGATGACCGTTATAATTTGTAAAACGCTAAGAGACAGCGTCGATGTATTAAAAGGTATATCAACCCAGAATACTGATATTATCATCATTGTTATTAGTAGTAGCATAAGCATTATTATCATTAGTACTAAAAGTATGTAATACCATTATCATTATTATACTTATCATTATCATAACAATCTACATAAATAAAAACATTCACAAAAAAAAATTAATTTCGGTGACAATTCCAGGCGCAACCGTTCCTATTGTAAACTGCTTAGTGAGGCATCAAATCTATTGAATGAAACAATCAATTGTGAAATTGGCGGTAGTAGATTAACGCCTCGTGTGCCTTGGATATCATGTTGGACAAGGAGAAGAAAATTTTTTCATGTTCACCATTAGCGTATATGGCTCGTCATTTACCCAAAAATTCAGATAAACAGTATTTTTCTGAATTATTAGGCATATGGCGAGCTTTAACTGTGTTTATCGACTGATAAACGGTGTTTATCGAAAGCGATATGTATATCACTGGGTAAACATATTTTATCGCACGCCATTCGTCCAAATAAATATGATTCAGATAAACAGACCTTATCTGAAGTGTTGGGCAAATGGCGCGCGATACGGGCTAAGAGTGCGCATGCGCCGACATGGGCGCCATTCGTCGATATGCGTATCCGGACACCTACCCCCTGGACATCCATCCCCCGGATAACCACCTCCAGTCAACTACCCCCTAGGACAACTACCCCCTAGGGCAACCATCCTCTAGGACGACTAACCCCAAGGACAAATACTCCCGGACAACTACCCCTAAACAACAACCCCAAGGACAACTACCCCCTAGGACAACTACCCCCGGACAACTTCCCCAAGAAAAATACCCCTAGAACAACTACGAACGGACAACTACCACCCGGACAACTACCCCCTAGGATAGTTTTCCGGGGGTCGTGGTGTCCTAGAGGATGGTTGTCGTAGGGGTAGTTTTCTTGGGGTAGTTGTCCGGGGGCAGTTGTCCGGGGGTAGTTGTCCGGGGGTAGTTTTACTAGGGGTAGTTGCCCGGGGGTAGTTGTCCAGGGGGTAGTCGCCATACGGGGTAGTTTTCCTAGCGGGTATTGGTCTTAGGGGGTAGTTGACGGGGGTGGTTATCCGGGGGGTTGATGTCCAGGGGGTAAGTGTCCTGAAACCGTCGATATGAGCGTGCAGCGCAGGCAGTGACGCAACAATATGAGCACGTCTGAAAACATGGATGACGCAATGTTTACTCGAAAATTAAAATGGCGGCCTTAACTGTGAAAGGGTGTTTTTCCGATAAACACTGGTTAGGCCGATGAAACTCGATGGCGAGTTTCCTGTTAAATTTTGTCAAAATGAGGCAACAAGGCCTATTTCATTATTCATTATTTGCAAAGATTCCTTTATGTTAACCTCTTACGAACTCTTAAGTCACCTGTGTTGGTTCAACGTGTTCAACTTCAACTTGTGATTCAGAAGTCGCACACTAAAACAACGACAATAGATTTTTTTTTTAATTAAATATATTAAAAATCTGATTTTCGATCTATTTTGGATTTATAGCATGTATATGTGTGGTTTATTTTCACAATATTTGATGTTTGTATTAATGAAAATAACCAAGATGTATATACTAACAATGTGTATTAATCAGATGTTCATACATGCATTAACTTAACAAACTGGTAATACACAAGTTGAACCAATAAAAGTGACTCAAGTGTTCGTAAAGAGGTTAACATAAACAAATCTTGCAAATGATGAATAATGATTGAAGGGACTTGGTAAGTTGTTCAGATGAGAGATAGTGGTGCTAAGGTGGTGACTTCAATGCTAAATGTACAATTAAAGATAATCTGAAAATTTGAGTTGAAACGGACCATTATTAATGATGCAAATTGGGAAAAATGATCTGATCGATTCATTAATCGTCACAAAGCAATAAATTGGCTCTACATACCATTCCAGACATTTAAGTGTTGACAGAGTTTAAATAGCCTGTTTTATGTCTTTTTTCATGGAAAAACGGTTGAAAAGTTCAAAAATGGTTGGGAGAATTTGCTGTTAATCACGGTTAGAGGGTGTTGCACAGTGACCCCTTCAAATAAAACCATAGTTTTTTTGTGGTTTGAGAATTTGTTCAGGATTTTTTGCATGTCAGAGGGTTAGTACAGTAGAAGGAATATAATAAGTAAAATTTTATACAAAAAATTAAGCAATTTTTTTTTCATCAGCCTTCAACAATGTTACCGAGCCACTTTAATGAAAAAGATGCCTCATTATGAGCTGAAAAAATGTGACGGGAAATTCGCAATCGAGTTTCATTTGCCTAAACAGTGTTTATTGGTATTATTGGGATAAGCGATAAACTGTGGCTATCGACTGATAATCGGTATTTATCTTAGATGTATCGAGAGATAAACAGTTATCACTCGATAACCAAAGTTTATCGCTTGCCATTGACGTAAGTTGGAACGAAAACTATTGGGACACGATGAAAATTATATATAATTTATTTGTTTTAAAATGTCCAAGTAACTAAACAGAACGTTTGATAAAACACTTTTGCATTTTGTCTTCTGTTATCAAGTGATACGCAATACACTTTGCTAGTTAGATTAATCCATTTAAACTAATTTGTGTAAATGATATTTACATTGGAGTTTTGTTTTCACAAAGAGCTGGGTTACTTTATTTTATGTATGATCTTATTCGGACTAAAGTAATGATTAAGAACTGAATACATATACCCATACAGGCCCCGCGGAACGTTTTCGAAAGTGTGGGGGGGGGGCTAAAGTATCTTTCAATCAGGTAGACGTAGCGGTCGAAGAAAAAGGAGTGTAGTTTTGCGTGGAGTCCAGGGGGCGGAGGCCCCAGAAGTTCAGGTGATTTTGGGATTTAATTACGATCAGATGAGCATATTTTTATAACTTTGAGATGGGTTCCAATGTAAGTTTTTTCGTTTCCAGGATCGCTTCTAAGTATGATTTTTACAATTTAACCATTAGAGATATAGCGTCTTTCTTTCTATTTCTCTTTAACATATTTTTCTAAAAAGTGAGGGGCTCGAGCCCCCCCCCCCCCGAGCCCCGCCCTTCTGCGGGTCCTGCCATAAAGAACTATTGGAGCCTACTCTTTTACAGGAAGTGATGCAGTAGGAAGATCGGTACCGGATTTCTCTCACAAGGGAAATAATACCACATTAAAAATATCGCTTAAACTGATCAATCCATTGTTTCCTGTAAAATAACAATCGCAACATATTTGTGAAATGGTATTGATCAACAACAAAAACAGAAATTCAAAGATTAAAAAAAAAAAACTTTGGGAAGGATTCTTCTTCCTCTATTGCCCCCCCCCCCCTCTCTCTCTCTCTCTCTCTCTACTATCTTATTTTCCTTCATCCATGTTTCATCTACGACTGTGACCCTGTGTACACACAATGGATTAAAATCAATTAAAACTAAGGGTACCAAGAAGTCATTTGGCGGACGGTATCTGAATTTCAAAGAGAAAACCATATTTCTAGAATGTTCATTTTCTGCCCCTTCATAATGACACCTCAATCAAAATAATTTTATCTAACGAATTCGTTTTCACTAACTGCCTGCCGTAGCAACAAACAGAATTTACAAAGACGATCAGCCAAAAATGAAATTGTCAACGAAACGGAGTTAAGTCTTTTGTAAACTCTGTTTGTTGCTACAGCAGCCAGTGAAAACGAATTCGTTTAATTAAATTCTGAAAATGCAAGCATTGCTTTGAACAAACAGAACTTTATTCTTCCCAGCTCATTTTTCCTGATTGAGGTGTCATATGAAAGGGCAGAAAATGAACTTCTAGAAATCTGATTTTCTCTTTGAAAATCGGCTACCGTCTGACTTTTTATTACCCTTTGTTCAAATTCATTTTAATCACCAAAGTGTGAAATAGGCATCCGATCAGTCGCATCAAATGAAAGAATAGGACCTAAGCTTTACAAATATGTGTCATTTATTAATTATAGTTGTGATAAAGTTATGATAAAAGATCGATAATTCTCGGTTTCGTTCCTTTCTGGGACGTACTGTATAATGTCGGTCGGCCGGCGAATTATCTTATCCTAAGAACTGTGTATCCGCTGTGACGACTTCGAGGGAGACTATACCTATAATATTAGTATTTTCTCGAAGTTTCATCAGCAATCATTAAAAATCATTGTCGATCGTCATTATCAACCTTACTTTAATATCAGCAAATGATTGGTTGCACTTCATGGTTGCACATTTGTTATATAGCTACGATGCTGACTAGTCTTGACAAAATAAACCGTATATTGATGAGGTCAAGAAAAATGACCATGTGCGCATGCGCAAGTATAAATAGTTCGTAGGCAAATTAGCCCCCAGTCACCGGCCCGGGGTTTGTAGGGTTAAATGTGTAGACATTGATACATTGGCATTAATGTTTTAATCGGTGGTCCGTGGCTTCTACATCCCCCCCCCCCCCCCACTGAAAAAGGTCTAACGACGCCCTTGTATGCAAGCTTTTACACTATTACTCTATTACCTCATCAACATAAGAATATCATCAATCAGCATAGTCGAAAGCTGTGGTAGAATCTATTTCTAATTAGAATCCTCTTTGTTTAATACAAGTTCAATAATTACCTTAGGATTAAGAAGATTGTCGACCAAACGGATGAGCTCACCAACATGGTGCTAAAATGTCATTAGCCTTTATCATCGAATGTTGTGGAATAGAAGAAAGAAAAAGTATTATTGATGGTCAATAGTTATACGTTAATCATTATTTCCACGTCCCCTTCTAAGGCGATTCTACCCCCTTCCCATAATTATTAAACTTCACCTTTACGCCTACACTGCACAATACTTGCCATTTCAGTTTATACAATTATTTAATGAGAAAATATACTATTTTCTTCTTGTGTTCACAAGTAAAAGGTGAAAAACTATACTTTGCTTAGAAAATTGGGCAGGAAAGTTTATGCAACATTCTTCACATTTTTATGATAAGGTGGAAAAATGAAGTCAGATCGTTATGAAAAGAATAAAATAATAAAAAATAATAAAATATATATATATTCAATATATTCATACATTGTATAACGAAAAGGTTTATAATAAACTTACCTTTGCTTAGAAGGTGAGTGTTTGGTAGAGTTTTAAAATAACAAACAGGTTGCTCTGCCTACTGAAACAAGAGAAGTAAGTTGAGCGAATCTCAACCCGCCGAATGACTATACCTCGGATACGAATACCACTTCCATTAAAAAAAGGGACTTTCTATATCTCCGATTAAACAATGCTCCAGAATTGTATCACTCTTACTATCCGCGAAAGAAGGAACTTTATCTGTGACCGAAGTATAATGTTCTTCAGCTTAATACCACTTTACCGTAAAAGGGAACTATGGGTTCATGTAAAGGAAATGCGTGCAACGGGATCCGGGCTCATCCCTCAATACCCCACCCCCCCCCCACCTGCGTACATAGACTACGTTTATGTGTCCATATATCCATGATGGCCTACTGAAGTAACCTTAAAGTGACTCGGTAACAGTGTTGAAGGCTTATGAAAAAAACTGCGTTTTTTATGAAATGTTACTTATTATATTCCTTCTTCTGTATTAACCCTCTAACATGCAAAAATATCATTTAAACAACTTTCAAACCACAAAGGTATTTATGGTTTTCGTCGAAGGCGTCACTGTGCGACACCCTTTAACAATAAATTCTCCCTCCCAACCATTTTTAAACTTTCCCAACCGTTTTCCATGAAAATAAGACGTAAAACAGGCTCTTGAAAATATGTTAACATTTAAATGTCTGGAAGGGTATATAGAGCCAATTTATTGCTTTGTGACGATTCTCATTCACCTAAAATGTACTAAATTGTAATAATATATTTGGGAGAATTAAGGAATCGATCAGATCAGTTATTCCCAATTTGTATCATTAATAATGGTCTGTTTTTACTAACATTTTCAGATTATCTTTAATTGTACATCTACAATTGAAGTCACTACCTAAGCACCATTTTGTTTCATATGAACAATGTTACCAAGTCCCTTTAAACAACAACAATTGTAAGGATGAACAATTACATCACGACGCCTTTGAAAGTATTATATTCTCCAAGAGCAGAGAAACTTTATTTCAAACTCTGAATGTAAGATTAATCATGTGGTTTCATGATCAGTTCATGTACAGTTTTCCTGAATAACATTAAGATGCTAAGTTTGAGATAATAATGTACTGGAACGTAATGAAAAAGAATCAAATGATATGTCCAAAACATAATGGAAAGGAGAAATGACCTAGACTCCATTTTTAGTAATGTTTGTGCAAACGACAAGATTGTGCATTTAAAGTTCGCAAAAGTGCGCTATATTAAGGCATTTGTCTTTGATTTTTCGATTATCCAACCATACTGATGTTAATGACATCAAGTACCTTTAAATCAATATAAGCAGGATTTTTTTTAACTCCATCAATGTATAACAAATATATATAATTACAAATAATCTTTATTCCTACAATGTTTTTATTTTAAACTTCTCTCAATTTCTTGTTCACCTTTTAGATAAATTATTCCCATATATTATACTATATATTATATCTAATATTTGCTTTTAATATGAAATGGCGAGAGGTTATTTCTTATTTTTCTTGGTAGGAATTGTCGAATGGCTTGACATAAAATTTGGCCGACACCTTCTCCCCTGATTTGAAATGTTCTTACAATGCCCCCTGGATATTCAACAGCGAAAGTATAGTTTGATCCAAACACTCAATAAGGATAATGATTTATAAAAGTACATTGTTCGTAACTTGATCCAAACAAAATACTCTGAGCTGTTATCTCTCCGGTGAACGAGGCACATTTCCTTCCTTTTAGGAAATTTCTGAGGGAGCGTCCCCATATTTTCTTTTATTATGCTATCAGAACTTTCTATTTTTTGGCACAATAACCAATTATTTGATAAATTGATTATTTTCCTACAATCGAGAAAAAGGACAACGTTACATTAACACTATTGTACCATGATTCACATTGGCGCATACACTTCACAGGAAAACATATATATCTTACTTTAACGTACATAACAAATCATTTATTTATTTTAAAGAATAGTTAGGATACATTGCCCAGGAGTATCTTCGTCTCTCAATACATGTTTCTACTTTCTGTACAGGTCTGTTAATGATCTGATTCATAGAACATTTTTAAAGAAGAATATTTCATTCCAACAATTATGTTCCCATACACGTAAGTCTGCCAAACGTTAATGTAGAAAACAAAATTAAAGAGCATTTATTTTGTTTTAATTAAGCACAATTTACAATGACTAGTTGGTCAACAATACGTAAAGATTGTGTGGGTGTGCGTGTGTGTGCGCGCGCGCGTGTGTGTGTGTGTGCGTGTGTGTGTGGGAGAGAGAGACTTCTTTCTTGTGATTGAGATAATCTACTCCCCTGAAAGCAAGATATATAATGCAAAATGATATTCTACTTCACATGTCATGAAGTCGGATCAAGAACACAAATAAATACGAAGAAAACGAAAAGATTGTGAAATTTTATGTACAAAAGGCAAGGAGAGTTGTCCACAGATGATGTCATCAAATTGAATACCGCCCTCTAGTGACTAGTCATTTCAAAAAGCTCTAACTAGGCGTTGTGGCGTGCGCCTGTAATCCAGCTAACAGTGGAAGTTACAAACTGATTCAACCGAGAACGCAGGTTCGAAACTGAGTCACGTCTTTCGGATGGTGACGTTAAAAGTCGGTCCCCAGACGTAAATAATCATATCTGATTGATACACGTCTGTAAAAACCCAAATACACACACACACACACACTCTAACTTCCTTATTCCTTGCCCGATTTTGTTCAAATTTTCACTGATTTTATTCAAATCTCTTAAACTTTACAATAAAAGTAACTTAGTATGAAGGTTTTGGTTCCCTTTAAGCTCTAGCTGTCATTACTATTCCGTTCTACAGTTTCTGATCTGCAATCAACTTGTGACCTTAATATTTTATTATCTCTTGGGGTAATTAGCAGCCAATCTTTGAAGATAGGTGAAATATGGAGCGTTTTTGTAAATCTGGCATAAAATCAGATACCACGTCTCCTTCCTTCCGTCCAGTGATTTGAGAGATTGATTTATTGAACGAGTATCTTACAGTACAGAATGATGCTGTTTGTGATATGGCTCATGAGGCTGATGATTATATGTTGCCCGCATTCCACTGCTCCAGGTTTCTTGGGAAGTGTAATAACTATCGATTTGCACAGGTCCTCTGGAAACTTTACATCATCATAGATCTTATTGATGACTTCAGTTAGTTTCATGACACCATAGTTCTCCAATGCTTCGACCATCTCCATTACTACTCCATTAGGACCATCAGCTTTGTTCCTCTTCATCATATATAAAACAACTTTGAAATAAGATGAAATCATTCTTCGGACTTATATCGCGTATTTGATTGTACACACATTATAACTCAAATTGAAATTATTGAATTGAAAATGCCTTCATCAGATTTATACACTGAGGTCCAGGGATGAGAGATGTGTTTTGAGGCTTTGTTTCCGATTGACGACGTTTACTATAATAAGTTCGTTTCGTAAGCTACATGTAATAGGCAAACTGTCCCATACAATGGGAAAAAGGTAATATAGTGCAGCATTAGCTAAATGCTGAGTGCGAGCACGAAGATGTCTAAAACGAAGATCATCCAGATGCGAAAAACATCCAACGACGATGGAAAACGCCTTTTATTTCAACAACAACAACAACAGCGCCTTGCAACCACGTGTATGCTAGCAACCACGTGTGTCCACAACAAAAGGATGTATCGGATAAAACTACAAATATATTAGCGATTCATCGCTAGAGATAGAGGTAGAGCCATCATCGGCTTCTCCTCCGTTATCTTAATTAGAGACAGGTCCATCCGTCTCTGAAAATGGGAAGGTATACATGGCGTAAGTAAATCTTGATAGAAAGTTCATTCTCGGCCAGATTTGTTTCACTACATAATTATAAGGAGCCCCGTGCAGGGGGCGTGCTCACTATACTGTGCGCAGAGCCATCTATACACAGAGTTATACAAAGCAGTAGTTGCCATGTTGTGTCCAACTCGAACCGGGTTGGCCAAACCCGATCCTAATCAATGGCACCGACTGTGCGGTAAGGAGATTCTTCCCATATTTTGTCAGCGATCTTATGGCGACTACGCAATGCTCTGTTGGCTACCAGAACAATGTCTCCCTTTGGAGAATGTAACCTCTCTTGCCCGTTTGCCGTGCTTGCATATCCTTCCGTTTCCTTCTAGCCTCTTCTGCATTGTGATTAGCCTGTTGATATGGTTCCTGTAGAACAACACGAAGCCTGGCTGCATACTCCTCCTATCTCTTTAACATGGTCATCAATGGGACCATCTCTGCATAAGATGAGATCTGTAAGGATACGATCCGCTCTCACAACCATCAAGTAAACAGGTGAGAATCCTGTTGTGGAGTGTTCCGTACAGTTATAGGCATGAGTGAGAGTATCACCATATGGTTCTCCCAGTTACCCTTAAGTACCTATCGTGTTCAGAAGGGTCCTGTTAAATCGTTCAGTCATGCCGTCCTCCCTTGTGGATGTTAGCTAGGGTGACGTACGTCCTAGCTACTCTTGGCCATTCCAATGAGCTTGCAAAACTCTTGAATGACTGCAGATTCAAAGCATTGCCCCCTGATTACTATGGATATGCTCGGGGATTCCATAGTGGCCGGTGTAGTGCTTCCAACGTCTGGGCCACTGTGGATGCTCTTTGGTCACGGGTCGGGAAGGCCTGGGCATGTCGAGTGAAGTGATCTGTAATCACCAACATGTTTTCAATGCCCCCCCCCCCAATGAATGTCTCAAGACTCAGGAAATATAAGCATACCAGCTCTAGAGGGCGAGATATACGAATACTCACAAGAGCGATCACGCATTAGGTGTTGCTGTCTGCGTCAATGTACAGCGCTTGCAGCGATGTATGTGACGCCTCGGTATTCCCGACCAGTAGAAACGGCTCCTTGCTAGGTCCAATGTTCTTTCATACCAAAAGTGACCCATCTCATCATGAACACCTTGAAGTTCTCTTCTCCTATAACACCGAGGAAGGACGCTGAGCTGAGCTTC